TTGTTAAGGATTTAGGCGTAGACAGGGCCACTTTCTTAACATTTGTATGCCAAGAAAGTGTGATGACAAAGGAAGGTGTTTGATGATGAGAATATATGTTATGTTATGGAGCTGCATGATGATTGATTGTCAGTCAAGGGTGTAGGGTAATTGGAGAAGAGGCGGGTGTTATCTGAGTGAGAGCTCAGGTTTGAGATTGAGCACTGATTTTTAAACATTTATGTCAACTGCAATGTCAGTCTCAACTATCCTTGTAATTCATCATACCTGTATATCCCCAAAGCATGGCTGAATCCCAACGTCGTATGGATTTCTGATCCCCACAGTATGAACATGAACTGAGTAATGAGACAATCCCCACCATCAGGGATACAGGTCTAGCCGAAGCTGAACTAGTCATGTGCCTCGTCTCGTGCATGAGTAATGTCAGGAAGTGGCGCTGAGCCACCGGAAATCTAGCTGATCACGATCAGTCGTGGCGTTGGAACTAGATTCCGGAACGCGGGGTCAATTCTTGTGTCTTACCGATATTGAATCGTGAACACCAGACTTGTGACAGATATCTGGGATTGATGCATGCCGAATATGGTCGAGGTTTTGGGCATTTACCATTAATGTCTAACACCCACCTACACCTTGACAGTGCGCAATTAAGTTAGTGAAAATGATTAACAATGGCGATGTTTCTTCTACGGCCCAAAGAACTCAAGAGTCTAAAGTCTGGCTCGTGACGGGTTGCTCAAGTGGACTTGGTAAATGTCTAGTCTCAGCCATTCTGGCAAGAGGTGACAAGGTCATTGCTACAGCTCGACAGCTCAGTGCAATGAAAGAGTTTGAAGGTCATGATGACATCAAGACACTTTCTCTTGACGTGGCATCGTCTCAGGATGTACTTGACACAAAAGTCAAAGAGGCTGTTTCTTTCTTCGGGCGAATTGACATCCTGGTAAACAACGCAGGATACGTCGAGTCTGGGGTATGGGAAGAACTCAGGTATGTCTCTCATACTAGCAAGAATAATTTCCATTTCTCATGTCATAAACTATCAGCCATGAAAACACTCTTGGAGGGTTCGAGACCAACTTCTTTGGGGCCATGAACATGACTCGATCCGTCCTCCCATCTATGCGTTCTCGGAAGTCGGGCACCATCATGTTTATGGGCAGTATTGCTGCTTGGTATGGTGCCGCAGCAGGTGGACTGTATGCCTCGACTAAATGTGCACTGGAAGGTGAGTCGGCGCTTGATGCTTTTGGTCTCGCGATCACGAATGCTGGGACTAAAAAAGAGCACAATAGGCGCTGCCGAATCACTGTCAAGGGAAGTGTCTGAACTTGGTATCAATGTTCATGTCTTTGTCATAGGTCGTTTCAGGACAGGAATCCTTGGAGAGAAGAGCAAAAACGAAAAGCTGAGCACACAAGGCGGTATCGCAGACTATACCAACGCCAAGAATTCCCTTGCTCAGAGTCTGGACGATTCACATGGCCGCCAGCCAGGTGATCCTGTCAGAGCAGCAGAAAAGATCGTTGACATCGGGAAGATGCAGAACCTCACTCCAGGCCAGGTAGCAAAGATACCGTTGCGCATTCCACTCGGGGCAGAGGCAGTGGCGGTGATGAGACAAAAGTCTTTGGATACTCTTGCTCTTCTTGATACGTGGTCTCAGTTCAGTGCTGAGGCAGATTTCGAAGATGCTGAAGCATTGCCTTCTTTTTATTCATAGCAAGATCATAGAAACCTACTCGAGTGCCACTAAATTCAACTACATATTTGCCTCTCATTTCGTTTTGTACCAGACTCTTGTCAGAGGTCGAGTTAAACCTTCACGTCTCACGTAGGGCATACCACGCCCTCATATGGCTGTTTCCTAATTGGCCTGGTGATTGTCTTTTTCTGACATGTCTAACCTCGACAGCTTGTGGAAGGCATATAATAAATAGAGGTGAGGCAAATCACTTGACAACGAAACGTGAACTTATTGCAAGTCATTTGGAAATTTTCATTGTCCCAGTGCAACAAGAAATAGCAATATTTAGAAAGCCAAGGTTCGATTTTATATATGTTGTTACTTGATGCTATTGAAAATGCATAATTTATTGCTATAATTTCTAGATACTGACAATGACGAATGTAAGGACAATGAATACACCACAATCCCACTCATGACCTCGCTTATGCCTTCAAGGGACGAAAAAGGTTCTCAACCGGACCTTGAATTGCTAAAAGCCCCTGAGACATCGCAAACCCTGTACCAGCAATCAGAGCCAGCCAGCTAAGAGGTGAAGTAGTCTTCATATTTCTCCAAGCTTTGCGAAGCATCCAGAAGCTAGACCCTCCCGTCCAAATGAAGTGGCTCCATGTCGGAAAATAAGTCGCCTTCCAGAAGGTCGCGGCCTCGCCAGGCCAAGCAGCTGAGTTTCTTCCTGCCTTGTTGATGTACCAGTTGCTACATCCCGCTGAGAAGACAGTCTCGCCAAGTACACGGTCAAGATTCTCGACAAAGCCTTCTTCAGCATCCTGTTTGACCTCAACGATATGGGTATAACCGTCGATGATGGGCTTGACGAGGACAGATGTGATGTAGTCAACCTGCACCTCGATGGCGTAAATGACGGAGTTGAAAGCGGGAAACGTGTTTGGTCCAAACCTATGAAAATTAGTAAAGTTCGTTATCGACAGGGAATCTGTATCAATTTGGACTTACAAAATGGCAAAGTTTGGGTTGTTATGCACAAAGGTTCCCATATATGCTTGGGCTCCTCGTCGGTTTGACCACTGGTCCTGAAGTTCCTCGCCAGTCTTGCCTATGATCTTCATAGGAGCCAAGAAAGACGAAACATCAAAGCCTGTAGCCAGAATGACGGCATCAAAGTCTTCAGGCTTGCCCTTCTCACTGACCAGACCCGTTTCTGTAAACTGTTTTATGCCTTCGGGCAGTAGCTCTACGTTATCACGACGCAGAGCAGCCAGGTAGCCGGGGTCGTAGATTCGTCTCTTGCAGCCAAGAGGAAAGTCGGGAACAATAAAGTGGTGATACTTCTTGGGTGCCTCAGAGAGAATGTAGCTTCTTGCTTCTGCTTCTGTCGCCAAACGCTTCTTGATCTGCTTCTCCTCTGGGCCGTATACACTAGCAAGATCATCTGTTTGGAGGAAGAGATCAAGCCTATGGTACCGCTGATATAAGGGTACGTAACGAAAGCAGAACTTTTCGAAAGAAGAGAACACTCGGTTTGGTCGAGGGTGATACCATTGCGGGCTGCGGGCATACTGAACAAGCTTCTTTACTCCTGGTGCAATGGACGGCACAACTTGCGCAGCGCTACAGCCGTTGCCAATGACGGCCACTTTCTTGTTTCTCCAGTCAAAAGTGTGATCCCACTCGGCGGTGTGAAAGGTTCTGCCCTTGTACTTATCCATTCCTGGAAACTTGGATTGTCGAGGAATAGAAAAGCCTCCTACGGCGGAGAGGAGGATAGTGCATTGCTTCGTGAACTTCTCCCCGGTGTAAGTGTCGAGGAAGTGAACATGCCATGATCCATCTACCCACTCAGCTCCAGTGCACTCGACCTTGAAGCGGAAATGGCTGCGGAGATTGAACTTGTCCACTGTGTTCTCAATGTCTGCACCAGCATGAGTTACTGTGTGAAACTTCAAACAACAGGGGAAGGTGTAAGGTGTAAGAAGATGAACGGAGCAGGTCACCTACATCGAAGAATCTCCTCTTGGTCGGCAAGTGCTTGAGTCCAATCGGGGTTGAGATTGAAGCTGAAAGAGTACAGGTGTATAGGAACGTCCGATCCACTATGATAAGAGTTAATAAGCCATGATGCTATAAGATAGGATAGCAAGAGGAAGCAAACTCACCATCCTGGGTAAGTATTGACTCTCCAAGTTCCTCCAAGCCCCTCGCGCTTCTCGTAGATCTACATGCAAAGTTAGTGCCAGAAAGAATAAGAAATTGTGGAAACTGGTACCTCAAAGTTGTTGAAACCAAGTTTGTGCTTCAGGGTGTGTGCCATGGCAATGGCAGCGGCCCCCCCGCCGATGATGATTACGTTAGGCGCTGACATGTTGGTGCCTTTTGCTCCTTTACAAGAATGGTAATCTAATACAATCAACAGAGTATCTTAACCAAGATATGATAATTTGATTGTGATTATTAAATGGCCATTGTCAGTTGTCTTGATAAATAACCAAGTCTCATGCTTGCCACCTTTTGGTAGACATTGAATTGCGGCTATGGATGGGGGGTGTGATATTAGACACCCAGCTGCGCACAGCCAGTTTCCGCGGGTTTATATTCCGACAGTACCACCACATTACCAGGGTTGGATTAATTCAGTTGTGCGTCCTCGGCTCTCTGACAGGAACAGGATTTTGATTGGATTCTCCGGCTTCTTTAAAAAAGAATCATCTGCTTTTCCGGCCTTTCAATCTTAACAAACTCATCAATCATGGAAAGGACTACATGCTATCTCGCGGGAGACGAAGTGGTTATTGCGAATGACTGGGACTATCGAATGGCTGTACCCAAGTCAAGTGGGGTTGGGTTTTATCTCTTTGTGTAGCGTAGCTCAGTGAAAGACACAGAATTCAATGCCCTCAGGGCATTTACAAGTACTAATGCGATATACTATTAGGATGTTTCTGTCTCGACTCTGTTATCATCCTTGTTCGCAAGTGAATAAATGAAGTTGCTCAGGCCTTTCCATCCCCACTGGGGAGAACTCACAGTGCCAAGTATCTGGGGTAAATGAATCACTGGATTGCATTTGTCATGTTAGTCCTATCTTTTATGCTAGCCACTCCACCCAACAGACAGAATGCGGGGGCGGGCATGACCTGTGCCATTTGGTAGACCCAGCGACTAACTACATCAAGAATAGGGCCTACGGAGAAAGGAACATGGGGGTAGCTGCAGGTTGCTTGCCTTGTCTCACGGTTCTTCTGTGAGGAGTTTCCCCAGACGATCGGATATCCCCAGATCCCCTCCACATCATCATCATCAAAATCGTCATCACCTTATTGAAGCATTCCACTCGACAGCATGATGGGACACAAATATGTCAAGAGCGCTTGTTTGAACTGCAGAAGACGGAAGGTCAAGGTACTAGATCCCCGTGCTATTCTGAGGGTTCTGTTGACGTGGCCCTTTGTGTGCTAGGCTTATCATATTGCAGTGCGATGGCAATGACATTTGCTCCAATTGTATAAACTCCAAGCTCGAATGCTCCTACAATGCTGATGGAGACATGAGAAGGTGCGTGACCGATGATGCGCGATGACAAAACACTCCCTGGAGGATGGATCTGCGGGAGAAGATGAGCGTGAAAGCTGACTTGCTGTACCGTATTGCAGACAATCAGCCAAGAAGGCAATCGTCAGCCTTGAAGCGCGCATCGCTCAGCTCGAAGGTGTCCTACGAGAACACAATATTGATCAGCCCCAACCGTCACCGGAATCACCAACCAGATATACAACCGCCTCCAAACCTCGATCGACCGTATCGGAGGCACATTCAGGGACCGATACTGACCAGAACCAGACCGAAAGGCGTCGACCTGGAAAGAAAACCTCTTCTGCACGAGTGGAGAGTCCTTCGACACACTTCATTAATAATGGATCCTTTCAACCCTTGGAGGCACCGGAGACTGCTCAAAGCTCCCAGGTAAATCGGGATTTAGCTGCAGATCTACCGAACACAGAAGACCACTTCGTCATGGTTGGCACTTCGAGTATGCCGAGTCCCCAGTCGGCAAGTCTCGCACAAAGCGGAGTTCATGAGTCAGAAGATGGAGATAGTAGCATCACAGACATTCTATCAGCACGAATGGGTGCGCTCAGGATTGTAGAGGATGGACAGCTTCGATACTACGGACCGACGTCGAACCTTCACATGTATGCAGACGGACTTCAATCATTGTCCAGCCCATCGTTTCGCCGAGTATCGATTGAAGGGATGGATGTTCTTCGGCGACTCGGATTGGACCTGGACATGTCACTGGACCTCGAAACCCACCTGGCAGGGCTCTACTTTGCCTGGGAAGATCCGGCAATTCACGTCGTTGATGAAGATGTCTTTTTCGCTGAGAAGAGACGCTGTCTATTGCAGGAAACAAGCAGTCCCTACTATTCCGAAACACTCAACAATGCAATGTACGTCTAAAGCCCGCCCCTGCAAGCATATCCTCAGAACTGACCCGTCAAGATGCGCCATCGGAGCTTGTCTAGCCAACGGCGAAAAGCTCAAAATCCCCGAACCCGCTGCAGAGTTCTTCTCTGCTCGAGCAAAAGCACTTTTGGACGTCGAGATGGATAGCCCTACTGTGGCGACAGTTCAGGCACTTGTAATAATGAGTGCTACTGAAGCTGCCTCTACTCGAGATGCTCGTGGCTGGCTCTACAGTGGCAAGTCCAGGTCTCTATCCTTATGATACCACAGACTAATAAGAGAGCATCAGGCATGGCTACTCGGTTGAGCGCCGACCTGGGACTTCACTTGGACATCAGCAACCACATTAGCAACGGGCTCTTGACAGAGCGTGATATGAAGATTCGACAAACAGCTTTCTGGGGGGTTTTCATCCATGAACAGTATGCTTCCCCCGCATACTCATACAAAACATTACTAACCTTTGTTCCAGTATGTGGAACCTATACGCTGGCCGACCATGGGGACTAGGGGTTCAAAACATTACAATCCCAATGCCAGAGATTGAAACAAGTGATAGCAACTGCAAAGAATGGAAGTCTTACCCACCTTCTGTCTGGCAGGCAAATGACCAGGAGGATACTGTTTTATTCCCCGTTGGTGCTTGCACAGCAGCCAATGTCCAACTCTGCGAGTACATGCGGCAGATCAATACCACTCTGTAAGACTTCCTCCCTACCTGCGAGCCGAGTGCAAGAGCTAATTTGGTCATCAGATATGCTGGACGGACGCTGGGGCTGACCGACCTGGTCGAGTTTCTTCTCAACACCAAGCAGGACATGACCAACTGGCATGAAGGCTTATCCTCGTTGATTGACGTGAATCACGCGAGTACTGATAAGATCTATCATCCTGCTGTATTACAACTCCAGTATGCCACTCTTCCTAGAGAGTTCACCCATATGTTCGGCACTGACAATGACCAGCATGCAATATTATGCCACCCTTATCTTTCTGTATCGACCATATCTGTCTTACCAAATCGCTTCACAAATATCAACATTAGACAAAGCAGAAAGCAGAGCAGCCATGTCGAGCGTGCCTAGTGATTGCGTCTCGGCAGCCCACCAAGTAGCAGAGCTCCTCCGATGCTACCAACAACAGCACTCTTTTCGGCGAGCAAATGTTCAGATTGTCCACATTATCCTCACCGCTTCTCTTATATTCATACACGACGTCTGCACTCGTAACTACAGTGAGTCCCGGCATTCTCTAAACGACCTACAGCTTTGCTGTCATTCGCTGGGGGAAATCGGTCGCTGCTTCGGAAATGCAACCCGAGCGTTGGAAGTCATCATTCTCGTCAAGAGTGAATGGCAGAGAATAGCAACTGCTCGACGAGTTCAAAAGGCAGGAACTAAACGGCAGAGCTTTAGCATGTCCAAAGGCGCTGATGAGCGTGACGATAACAATGACGGAGGTAGACCAAGGCAAAGATATCGCACCTTGGATCGAGCCAGTTCCATTCTCCAGGCATCTGATATAGGCACACGTTCTGGCTTGGTGAACGATCATACTGGTCTCCCCCAACAAAGACCGTTGGATCTTGACGGGATGAACCTAGACGAGTTCAATTTGGAGAGCCAATATCAAGACATGTGGGCTTTCTCAGCTGAGCACGACTTTGATCTACACGAGGCCATTCCGCCTATCGATTGGTTCAACAATCAGCTGCTTGAGGGGTCTCACATATCAATAACGAATATGATGGGTCAAACGATGACCAACGTCGATGCTCCTCAGGATGGAATTGGCGACAGCTCGCCACATAAATCTTGAGGGATGAGTGGGCGCAGCACTGGCGCTCGCGTGCTGTTGCTTTTTGTACAATAGCATCGGGAACGCAACTCCGTTACAGGGGACTTGGCATGCACTTTGCAGGGAAGTGTATTCCACGGTAGTTACGAGTTACAAGCTCAGTCAATAAATATGAAGGATTATTTCATCCGATTGTATGCCGCACATTCGAAGTTCGAATGCCATTGGGCATGACAACAGGAACTCGTGACATGGGTAGTGTCAGGGACTGAGGCTCCATGTAGAATCCTTGGAGGCGTTTTAGTCAAATCAGCACTGAATTGACCTGAGTCAGTCCACTGATCCACTCATACATACCCCAGGGCCCACCGTAGGCGGTACCCCACGGAATTCAATCCCGCGATTTTGGATTTCCGCAAGTTAGTGTCAGCGTCTCTGGAATGGTAGTGTAACGGGAGCTTTGGGGCTGGGATAGCAATGATATATGTGTTTCAACAACCAACAATGCTTACCTCGGATCAACAATCCATTTCACCGAGTTCCCGCAAATCGAGCGCCGCTGCATCACGCCTCGCCTCGCTAACATGAAAAGAATTTACAGGCGAAGAGCCACAAGGGCTTGTTTGAGCTGCCGAGGGCGCAAGGTCCGCTGTGATGTCACTCGGACTTCTATGCCGTGTAGCAACTGTCGCTTCAACTCGACTGAGTGTGTCGTACCTAGAGGCCCCCGGGCGCCCAGACTGTAATGTTGTTCAGAACCATTAGAGTGATTTGTCGCTGATGGGATATTACAGGGCGGGTGAAGGCCTGTCATTCAAACATTATTCCCCGGACTTGAGTCAGGCCACAGACAGCTACCTGTCCTTTCAGCTGTTGAGCAATGCCGTGGAATCACCAGATCTACCACCTGATTGCATCCAAGTCCAAGCACCTTCTGCCACCAGAGATTGTGGTTCGAGTGTCCTAGACACAGCAAGTCCTATTGACAGTCATTCGGTGCATTCAAATTACCCTTCAATACAAAGCTCCGAGGACCAAGCACACATTGGAAGCGACTTTCAGCCTCCAGCTGGCGCCAATGATATAGACCAGGCTCAGAGTACCCACGAAAGCACCGGTACACCTCTAGTCCTCACAGGCGATTGCTGGGGCAGAGTAGAAATCGATCACAATACCGTACATGATGCCGTCAGTCTCAGTTCCGAGGGATGCTTCGATTTTCCGGTGGAACCTGTTATGAGACGATTCATCAGTCATTACTTTCTCTACGTTCATCCTCTGTTACCAATGCTGGACGAGGGCGACTTCTGGGATCTTCAGTCTGATTCTAATCCTGCAAATTATCGAAACAATTGCCCTGATATTCTTCTTCTACAAGCAATGCTATTTGCTGCCTGTCAGGTAACCTCTTCATATGTTCTATGATGATTGAATCGAGCTGGTACTAACTCTGGTCAGTTTGTGTCTGAAGAAGAAGTAAAAGCCTTGGGCTTTCGGGGCCTTCGCCAAGCAAAAGCATGTTTCTACAAACGCGCAAAGGTATGTCCAACTCCATGGCCGATTGAACCCGTGTCTGACACTAGGTAGCTTCTTTACAGCTCACAGATGCAAACCGACCACAGTCTAATGGCACAGGCTGCACTTTTACTGACTTACTGGAGCTCTTCACTCAACTCGAGTGAGAAGCAACCAAACAGCATTTGGCTTGGCCGTGCCATCAGTCATGCAAAGGCACTGGGAGCAGACAAGTGCGCAGATATACCCAAAGGTGTTGGGCATGCATCTTCCCAACAGCGATTACATGATAACAGATTAAGAAGAATCTGGTGGTGTTGCATCATCCGGGATCGAATTATCTCCCTTTGCGTTCGTCGACACCTACAGATCTCACGGGACCATCTCGACAATCATGCAACCACGACTATCTCGTACGATACCCTTTCAGGCGAGAACGACCGGTCTCATGTTTATGACGTCGACACTAAAAGCTCTCTAATTACTCTTATGCTTACGATGACAGACCTGTGTCTCTGTCTTTCCGATATCTTGACAGTAGTACATCCAGCCAAGGATTTCACCGTGTCTGATGCCCGCGACTCAACTAGGAGAATCTTACAGATTTATGAATGCAAAAAAGGCTTGGAGAACTGGTGCGCCAGGGCTGTAGCGTCCTCATTAATAATGGCCATTACTGAGCACGATGGCCAACAAGTCGATATGCCAAAGAGCTCTGTCTTGATGTTCGCCAATATGATATGGATATACTATCAGTACGACTCCCAATCCATGAATTACATCTCTTTTATTCTACTAACATACTCTATAGCTCTGCCCGCGTCACTCTTTGCAACTTCGAGTTGTTACTAGGCATGACTACCCATTCACTCGTCTCATACGAGAGCACACAGCTCCAAGTAGCAACCATTGAGAGAGTGCGGATTGGGCTGTGGGATGCAGCGACAAATATTACCAACAAACTTGAACAGCTTCTCGATCTTGGATTAGCTCGTTATTTACCGAGCAGCGCAGTGTCATGTACGGCACTTCCACTGGCGCTACATATACTCGACGCCAAACTATCACCCGCAGTAGGTCCCCGAGAAACAAAAGACGAGCAATCCAGAAGATTCAGGAGACAAAACCAGTTGAACATCCTCGTTGCCGCGATGATAGAGTACCAGCCAAGATATGAAGGGGTTGATTGGGTCACAAGAGCGATCAGGTACTTTATGGAGTGCACATACTGTGAATCAGCAATGATCCACCAAAACGTCACAAACGACGAGCATCAGGTAAAGAAACCTTCAATGGATGTCATTTCCCAAAATCCCGCACATTTCCTTAGGCTGGCATTGACTCTTGATCTGAGTCTAAGCCAAGACCGGTTGCCTGTCGAGAGAGACTTTCCCCGCAAGCTGCAGGCTTTGATAAGCAAAACTGGATGTTTCATCCCATTCCTGTTTTCACAAGACAGCGACCATGACGATAATATGATAGTTGAAGATATTGCTACTGTTGCTAGACAGCAAGTAAGTTCCGAGTTGGGAGTGGGCAGGACAAGCTGCGCATCACCTCAATTCCAAGACTTTAGTGGATGGATTGAGAATGATCGATCATTGTTCTTTGCCCAAGAAATGGGTATTGGTCTTTGAAGACTTAAGACCTTTTCCATTCAGGAACGCAATTTGGTATTGAATAAAATAATAACAGTTTCCAAAAAGTATCTATGTTACCTAGATTCTGTTCCTCTCCTTGTTTATGTATCTCGTGGGTGTCTAGCAGAGGAGGGCTAGAACAAGTATACTGTTTTTGAGTGATAGGGCTAATATCTACTGGCCTGCTTATTCGCGATCCTGTTTGAAAGGAAGCTCATTTAGACCCCTCTTTAATGACTGGGACCTCGGAAACTAAATCCGCGGCTCTTAAAATGTGTCTACAATAAGGTGGCCTAGTCTGCTGCTGTCTGCTATATCTTAAACCGCGAATACTTCTCTAAGTACTGTGCTTCGAATTCGTGTCGGGCCACTTCTGTTCTGTCCTTTTGTTCCATACAATACCTCAAGAGCCATGTCCTCACAGAAAGTTGACTTGCCTATACAGGGGGCTACTTGCACGCTCTCGATCATTGATACGACATGCTATCTCACAGTTCCAGCAGATACTTTGGTTGAACCTGCGATACCAGGACACGAACTGATGAACTTCCCCACGTTCTCATTCCTCATCAACCACGACACCACAGGAAAGCAGCTACTCTTCGACCTGGGATGTCGAAAGGACTTTTGGAATTTGCCAGACCCCATCGCAAAGACCATCGATAAGAGAGTCCCTGGGATCAAGGTCGATAACAACCTAGCCGATATTTTACGAGAAGGTGGCCTTGACCTTTCAAAGATTGACGCAGCAATTGTCAGCCACCACCACTACGATCACCTAGGGGACCCAAGTACGTTCCCAGAGACCATGGATCTCATCGTTGGTCCTGGCTTCTCCCAGCATTTTCTTCCTGGCTACCCAGCAAACCCCAATTCGCCAGTCCATGAGTCAGCCTTCAAAAACCGTGAGGTCAGAGAGATAGACTTTGATCAACATCTCCATGTTGCTGGATATCAGGCTATGGACTACTTTGGTGATGGAAGCTTGTTCCTTCTCAACACCCCAGGCCACGCCATTGGTCATCTTTCTTCCCTGGTCAGAACGACTAGCGACACATTCGTGTTTCTTGGAGGAGACATATGTCACTTTGGAGGGGCTTTTAGACCAACTGAGAAGACTCAAATGCCGAGAGAACTCACAAGAGAAGAGGTTGGCCTGCCCTCTTCCGCACCAGAGGTTGTATCATGCCAGCAATACTTATCATGCCATCCAAACCCGGCTGAGGCTAGCTCTACTCCATACTACCAACCATGCAGCCATGCCGACTCTTGGTACGTCGATCCGTCTGAGGCACATAAGAGCGTAAGCACCCTCATGTCTTTAGATGCGATCGATAAGGTGTTGGTCCTGATCGCGCATGACCCATCCATCATGGGAGTCCTCCCAATGTTTCCTGCCGCGACTCTCAATGGATGGTATCAGCTCGGGTGGAAAAGACTACTGCGGTGGAGGTTCCTGGATCAGCTTCCAAAAGACGGACAGCCTAGACCGTATCTTGTTGATGGGACCTATGTAGATGGAAGGCGTGTGAAGACGCTGGGTGGAACCAAAATTTAGTACATAGCGGTTCAAGGCAGTATTACTGTAAGCGAAAAGGATTCTACGTTGTAAACTATCTGGGGTAGTTTGTGTTGGCTTTTAATCTGTTTACTTCTCAGCGTTAAATACCAACCTTTGCGCCTTAACCTCACAGTCTTCCCAGAGCCTCCGATTAGTCTAGCACCAAGTTTCAGCATTCGTTGTTATCGGAACATCTCAGAGATGGCGGTCGAAGCATGAATTAAGGCTATGATTTTACAATCTTGGAGCACAGTCTCTATATCTCCCTATTAAGACAAAAAAGGCATTTGGTACTCATATACAGATGGCTAAAATAAACCTGTCTAAATCTTGCTGCGCAGTCGTAGTCGCTGCTGGAGTTTCTCGACTCGTGCATATCCCCATGATGCATACGCCAACGTCTGCCGCGCAAACTCTCTCGCCTTGCTACCGCTGGCCTGGCCCCTTACAATTCTAGCAGCGATGCCCTGCATGACGACAGCCGTACGGAAGTTACTAAATGCAACACCCCAACCAAGATACCCTGCAGCATCCCAGTCCACTCCGCCCCAATACCACTCTTGACACTGCTGCATGCTAGGAATTCCTGCAACGTTGCATGGTTGGAACTTTGATTGAAGATCCTTCAGCTCTGGTGTCAAAGTCTCCGATGTGAGAAACGGCACTTGTTGCGGTTCCCAACTGAAAGGCATGAGCAAGTTGGCCAGGTCAGACAGCGGATGGCCTTCTGTTGCCATTTCCCAGTCCAAAATGCCAATCACTCTAGGCTCGGTCTTGTGAAACACCAGATTGTCAAGTTTGAAGTCTCCATGCACCAACCTCCTCACATCGGGCGGGTGGGTTTTGTGGTCCGTGAAGAAGCTGATTAGCTGGTCATAATAGGGCAATTTTCCAACATTCTGTGCCCCTGGCTGACTTGCAGTGCTCGCTTGGGCCTCAGATGTTTTTGATAAGGCTTTGATCTGGCGCATGTAAAAGCTAGTGGGCCGTTTCCAGCTGTGCAACCCAATGCCTGTTAAGTTAACAGAGTGCAGTTTCGCAAGCGTATGAACTGCCTCCTTCCAGCTGATCTACACGTTAGTAATTCAGAAGCCCCTCGAATTTTCGACAAAATAACTTACATCAGAGTGCGCTCTTCAGGGCTAAGGCTCGGAAGCCAAGGTTCCTCAAATATTCTGCCATCGAGAAATGCCATTATATAGAATGGCGTCCCAATGATAGAGACGTCCTCACACAAACAATACAACTTAGGTACAGGAATATCAGTCGCCTCTAATGCTTTGATGATCTCATACTCTCTCTCAATCGCGTGGGCGCTCTTAGAGAGAAGCTTCCCTGGGGGCTTCTTCCTCAAGACAAATTTGAGACCTGTCGCCGACGTAACTTGATATGTGGGATTGGACTGGCCATGGCCAAACTGAAAGGGTTGAGCAAATTGGCTAGGCAATCATCGCTAGAACACGTACCTGCTTCAAGCTGATAGGAAGAGAGATTTGATCCACATTCTGTTCAATATACGCACTCAATCGTGCAACATCGATGGGTTGTCTCACTGCTCCTGCCATCTTGTCACAAGAACCAAGAATATGAAACTAGATTTTTTTTTTTAAAAAAAAGAAAAACAGATGAAACTTTGTGTAGATGAGGGTTCAAGGATCATTCTAGATCATTGTCGTTTTCTTTCATTTAATGCACTGCAAAGCGCCTTGTGGTCAACTCGTCAAACCGAGCCCGAGGTGTTTTACCATTAGTCATATTGCGCCGAGGAAGCTGTCTCGTCAATTCCGTGCCTGGTTTACCGAACGGGAATCATAAGCCGGTTCCCGTGGCGGACTATCGCTGGTGATTTTGCGGGGGGCTTCTTTGTCTTGTGCCGATGCATAATTCTTAAATTACTTCCCGCATTAAACTCTGGTCCTCGACGAAAGTATCAATGTCGACGCTTGACCAAGTATCAGACGGGCATCATGGTTTACCAGTCAAAGAATCCCAAGATCTCCTGTAAGGCCTCTCATTTTAAGCGACAATCTTCCAACCAATTGACGTCCACTTTGCAGTCTCCCCAAAGCAGACCTTATGGTCATGGCTTCTAGAATCTAAGCCACTGGCTTCTGATAGCAACGCCCCAGGCTTTACCGACGCAATAACGAAGAAGCACCTCACTTACCAGACGCTCAAAGACTATGCGACAACTTTGTCATCGATTCTCGTTTCCCGGTATGGACTGAAGGAGAAAGATACAACTATCGTCAACGGCAAAAACTCAATCTGGTACCCTGTTGCTACTCTTGCTGCTATTCGCGTTGGAGCTGTAGCCTGCGGGGTGTCACCAGACTACACCGTTGACGAGCTTTCCTACAGCCTCAAGACCAGCAAAGCTAAAGTCATTTTCGCTACCGTTGAAAATCTCGACAGGGCCCAAGCCGCAGCTGCCAAAGTTGGGATTCCACGCGGAAATGTACTTCTGCTTGAAGGTTCTAGCAAAGGCGTCACAAGCATACAGGAACTCCTCGAGAACTCAGCAGGTCTAGCTCCAGTGCCTTCATTTCAAGTTCCTGAGAGCAAGACAAATCGTGATATTTGTGGTTTCCTCTGTTTTAGCAGTGGCACAACTGGTCTCCCCAAGGCGGTAATGATATCACACGCCAACATCATCGCCCAATGCATCCAGATCAAGGATATCACCCTTTCTAGCCATGACCGCGTTCTAGCAGCCTTGCCATTCTATCATATCACTGGTATAATACATCAGTTACACTTACCCATTCATCTGAATGCCAACGTCTATGTTCTATCTAAATTCACTCTGGACTCACTTCTGCAAACTGTTTCGGAAAACAAGATCAAAGAACTTTTGATCGTCCCACCTATTTTGATCCGACTAGTTCGAGAGCCAGAGATCGTGGCAAAGTATGACTTGTCTCATGTTGAGCGATTCTCATCGGGTGCGGCGCCTCTGTCTCGAGAGATCCTGGATCTCCTTGAAAAGGCATTCCCGGGAACCGGCTTCAAGCAGGGCTATGGCATGACCGAGTCATGCTCAGCTATTGTTTCTCACCCGCCATCAAAGTATGCTTACAAGTATGCCGACCGCGTCGGTATGCTTGTGGGATCTACCGAAGTACGAATCGTAGACCTTGAGACTGGCAAGGACTGCGATGTTGGGAAGTCGGGTGAGATCTGGGCTCGTGGGCCACAGATGGCTATGGGTTACCTTGACAACCCCAAGGCAACTCTAGAGACATTTGATAAGGATGGATTCCTTCACACTGGCGATATAGGCCATTTCGACGATGAAGGCTTGCTATCTATTACCGACAGGCTGAAAGAGATGATCAAGGTCAAAGGGATTGGAGTTGCTCCAGCAGAGCTCGAAAGCATTCTTCTCGGCCATCCACATGTCAATGATGTTGCGGTATGCGGTATTCCCGATGAGCGTGCAGGTGAGCGGCCTAAAGCGTTTGTGGTCCTCAAGTCAGAGGAGGCCTCACGACCCATTGAAGCAGCAAGGGAGATATTCGAACATGTTAAGAAGGAAAAGGCGCGATATAAGTGGCTCCAGGAAATTGAGATTGTCTCTATGATACCGAAAAGTCCAGCGGGCAAGATCTTGAGGCGTAAGCTGCGAGAAATGGCGACAAGCGACAACAAGAATATTGTTGTTAAGGACATCAGGTTTGTGTCAAAACTTTAGATAGACTATGTATGAAACAATTTGAGTTCAATGGGTTCTTGAAAACGGGAGAGCCTGCAGGATTCTAGTTCGTATATCAACATCATGTAGCTGTATAACCCAACTTTTTGATGGCAAAAGACAACAAGCCACAGCATTCCATCATGCATTTCATTTTATTGTTCTGCGGCAAGAAGCTCTCTGTCCCACCTCTGGCATCTTCTTCTACTCCAGTTTGCATCGCTAGCCGCTCAATGGATCGCTAAACAATCGAGACTCGACCCAACTTTATATCACATAAACTAGAATAATGAGAGGCTTTAGTAATTATTCAGGTTAAGTATGCTCTAATTATTATGATAGCTTCATCTGAAGCGAGACAGAGTCTTGATTATTTCCCAGGAGTACACCGCCGCCAACCATTGTTACAGTAGCACCCACCCTTTTTAGGCATAGTGCAAAGACTAAAGTCATTCGGACGCGGCTTTTAATTCCGGGCTCTCTTAATTTAGACAGTTCCATGCCTCGGCTGTTTAGTATTAGGAATCACATGCATGGGTATTGACAATGGAGCTCAGCCGGACTAGATGACCGATGAGGCTTGCTTCGAATCCGATATGGTACCATTCAAAACCCAACTTGCTTCGTTCCTCTAGAATAGAGATTTCCCGGGTATTATAGAGCGCCGGTCCTGTCGTATGTTGCGTTGGCCGATTTCCCCTACTACTAAATATCACGACCAACTATTGTCATTAACACTATGGACCTTCCAGCATCAGCACGCATCCCCATTGCATTTTCTGAGCAAGTCAGCAAGAAAGCTCAGAAAACTCTGGACGAAGTCGAGCTCTTTGTCCAAGAGAAATGCATTCCAGCTGATGCAGTCTTCGCTCAGATGCTGGGTAACAAGCCCAAAAAACGTTTTGCTGCGCATCCACGGATTCTCGAGGACCTGAAATACGAGGCAAAACGTAGAGGATTGTGGAATCTTTTCTTACCAAAGAGTCACTATGCAGAGGGCAGTGGCTATAGCAATCTTGAATACGGTTTGATGGCTGAACAATTGGGGAAAAGCCAAATCGCAAGTGAGGTATGTTGACCCAACTCTTCGCACGTCGCGCAAAAGCGAAGCTCATCATTTGGCCCTTTAGGCTATGAACTGCTCAGCTCCTGATACAGGTAACATGGAGGTTCTGGCCAAGTTCGGAAATGCTGCACAGAAAAAGGAATGGCTCGAGCCGCTCCTTGAGGGAAAGATCCGCTCAGCTTTTCTAATGACTGAGCCAGACGTTGCTTCCAGCGACGCCACCAACATTCAATTCGAAATGAAACGCGATGGAGATTCATATATACTGAATGGCAGTGTAAGTACCGCCGCGGCCTGTGCATTCAAACTGTTGTCTAATTCTGGATAGAAATGGTGGAGCAGTGGAGCGGGCGATCCTAGATGTGAGCTGTACATCGTGATGGGCAAAACGGACCCCTCTAATCCAAACACTCATCGCCAACAGTCTGTCTTATTGGTTCCCGCGCGTTCTGCTGGTATCACTGTACACCGCATGCTGTCAGTCTTTGGATACGATGATGCTCCTCACGGTCACGGACATATCTCTTTCAACAACGTTCGTATTCCTGCATCCAGCCTCGTCTTGGGAGAAGGCCAGGGTTTCGAGATCATCCAAGGACGACTGGGTCCTGGCAGAATTCATCACACTATGCGATGCATTGGAGCGGTAAGAGATCCCCAGGCCTGCGTTCATTCAATGTAGAAGAGATGCTAACGTGCGCTAAAACATAGGCTGAACGCGCTCTCGATCTGATCTTGAATCGTATTCATGACCCATCGAAAACACCATTTGGCAAAATGCTTCATGAACATGGGCATGTCACTACCGAGGTAGCCAAAGCTCGCCTAGACATAGATGCATCTAGGCTGGTCGTCCTCAACGCAGCCGTCAAGATAGATAAGGCAGATGCCAGGTCTGCCCTGAAAGAAATCTCAGAGGCCAAGATCCTTGTCCCTTCGATGCTTTGTAAGATCCTTGATAGCGCTATTCAAATTTATGGAGGCGCCGGTGTCAGCCAGGATACACCATTGGCATACATGTGGGCAAGCGCTCGGACTATGAGACTCGTTGATGGTCCTGATGAGGTTCATATGCTACAACTAGGTAGAAGGGAAAGTCGACGGGCAGATTACGTGAGGGCAAGGATACAAGCCCAGAAGGATTTGGAACAGAAGTTATTCCAGCTGTATGATTTACAAAAGGCCGATCCTTTGGAAATGGGTTGGACGAGCGAGACAAAACCAAAACTATAGTGGATGTTACCGGTTTATGTTCACTTGCTTCTGGTGGCAGCTGGAGTATGTACAGAAGGTATCCATCATTTATGCGGCGTCCTTAATGGATCTGTTATGATCTGAGGGAACACTAAGACGGCATACTGTTATTAGTAATAAAAATAGCAATAGCCAGCTCAACTTACTGTATTTAGGTTAGTGTGAGGTGTTTGTTATCATTTTTCGCAGCATATGGGGAAGACTCTAGGGTAAGGAATTAATTACAAGGTTAAATTTAGATAGCTTAGGGAATGTGTTCAATTACATCGCATGCTCTGCTCCTTTCTATTCCTCGAAAACAAATCATATTTCGCTGACTTGAAGTTATCTGTGCCTGCAGTTGACCTGGTAGTTATTCATGATGGCGACCACGGAACCCCACATCTAAGTAACCCAGGGGAATGTGTTACCAGGCTGCCGTGAAGTATCAAGTCGAGTTTGCGTTCTTGCGCCAGTTAATGCAGAACAGTATGCAACCCTTCAGTTGGAAAGCAACCAAAGTGCCCAGGAGGGGCACTAAGTGAAAAAGAGTTCGGAATCCTTTGTCATGTCTACACTCTTCGAGCCTAACCCCGCTTTGAGTCGGAGGGCTGGCCAAGCTTGAACGAAGAGGACATGACTCAGTCACAACTGCCGAGGAATTGGCCCCTCCTGGAATGGAGGGAACATCTTGTAATCCCGACAGAGATGGAGCGTAGATTGCCTCGGACATGGAAACAAAGTCCACGGTGTATGACCCGCGAGCCACCGAACCATTATGACGATTATCATGCAACCTTCTCTACATAAACGATATCTTTTAGCGGTCAAGGGCGAACAATCTTCTGGCAGCACAGAACAACTATCATCAGGTTCAAACCATGGGTTCAATTACCGACAAGCTGCTACGAATTGCCTCAGCCTCTGGCTCAGTGACCGACCGGCGCCACGCGCTGGCTGACCTAGCCAAAAATGAGGGCGTTGACTTTATCGTTGGCGATTGGCTTTCAGAGTACAACATGACCACAAGAGGAGGAGGCAAGGTTGACAGTGCAGGTTCTACAGACGAATTTGAGCTTTCGTTCCTCGAGGCTCTGGATCCCGCACTGCCTCATTTGGCGTCAAGCAGGGCCAGACTTGTGGTCAATGCTGGTGCCAGCGACACCAAGAAACTCCACGACGTTGTTGTGGAGAAGATTGCCGCCGCCGGTCTGAGTCTCAAGGTTGCTTGGATTGGCGGAGACGAGGTTTTTGACGTTGTCAAGAAGGCCATTGACAAGGGCGATGCTTTCAAGAGTCTCACACATGGTAAGCTTTGATCTCCCGCGTGTTCCTCAACTGTTCCTCATCTCTAATAGGAGGAAATCTCTCGGACTGGGGCTTGGACCCCATCTACGCCCAGTGTTATCTGGGTGGCTGGGGCATTGTCGAGGCCCTCAAGCATGGGGCCGACATTGTCCTCTGCGGTCGAGTTGCAGATGCCTCGCCCACTATCGGATGCGCAGCCTACCATTTTGGCTGGAAAAGAGAAGACTACCAGCAACTCGCGTCGGCATTCGTTGCTGGCCACTTCATCGAGTGCTCGACATACGTGACCGGTGGCAACTTTACCGGCTTCAAAGACTTACCTGGTGAATCGACAAATCTCGCCTTTCCCATCGTCGAGATGCAAAGCAATGGTGACTTCTATGTCACCAAGCAGAAGGATCGAGATGGAATAGTTACTGTGGATACCTGCAAGGCACAGCTCCTTTACGAGATCCAGGGTCCTCTGTATTACAATTCCGATGTAGTAGCCAAGCTTGACGACATAAAGTTGGAACAGGCTGCAAAGGACAAAGTGTAAGCGCCAAACATACTTCCATCGCTCTGAGTACCTTATTAACTACGACGATAGATTCGTACACAACGTGAGCGGTCTAAAGCCCCCTCCCACTACAAAGGTCGGCATTACCGCAAAAGGTGGTTATCAAGCCGAAGCACATTACTTCCTTTGCGGTCTGGATATCGAGGAAAAGGCCGCGTTGCTCGAGAGGCAAGTCCGAGCTATGCTCGATGAGTCCAAGTTCCACTGCCTCAAGTTTCGCGTCAACGGTCGGTGTCCCGAGAACCCAAGGAGCCAAGATGCTGCTACCGTTGACGTACGCATCTTTGCTCAGTCACGAACCGAAGAGGCCCTCTCTACTGCAAACTTCTTGCGTCCGGTGACAGATGTCATTATGCAATCGTACCCTGGTGCGACATTCGCAGTGGATGCTCGACAAGCGGTCCCTAAGCCATACTACGAATACTTTGTTGCCCTTCTCCCGCAGAACGACATTACGCACGTCGCGCATGTTCCTGAAAAGGGACTAGAGATTCCAATCGCAGCACCGACCGATACTCAAGACTTTTTATACGAGCAGTCAACCTATGAGACCACGTCTCCCGTCGATTTGTCTAGTTTTGGACCAACCACAAGGGCTCCTCTCGGTTACATCGTCCATGCTCGCTCAGGCGACAAAGGATCAGATGCCAACGTCGGATTCTTCGTTAGAAACACTGACGAATGGGACTGGCTCCGAAGTGTTCTCACTGTGAATAAGATTCGAGAGCTGTTGGGTGACGACGACACTGGTAAACCTATCTTCCGTTTTGAACTTCCAAACATTTCAGGTATGTGTCCTTGGCAAGCGCTATATACCTTCACTAACATCTTCTTTCAGCTGTCCATTTCCTGCTGAAGGATCATCTTGATCGTGGTGTAGCTTCTAGCTCAACTTATGATGTGTTGGGAAAGAACGTGGCAGAATATCTGAGATGTAAGCCGGTCCATATTCCTACCAGGTTTTTGGAGCGTGGAAAGATTTGATCTCGATAAGATATATAAATAAACATAATGGGACATTGTGCCCTCATTCAACCTCATGGTTCACTGTATACCTTGTTAAGATATCTCATTTTCCGCCCTTGACGGCAAATTGACAATGTTTGATACGGCGTTAGATGAAATGTTCTTCCTTCTGGATAAGGATATTCGCAATCCAGACCTCAGTTCCTTGTCCGTCGTCCAAGATGACATGCCTCTTGGTCTTAATCTGACACTCGTCCTTGCAGCTAGCATTGAGTCTTGACCCTTCCTGATCGGTCACTTCCCACATGAGTATGCCCCAGATTCCGGGTAGGCCAAATTCATTGAACATGTTAAAGGAAATGGAATTCCGGATTGTTATGCGCCATACTCAATTTGACTCGAGGAAAGCGGTTTGAGATTGAATCACCACGAGCCTTGACCCAGTGACGAAAGGTTCCATGGGAAACTTCCCCGGATTCTAATTCCGTCAACCCCGCAATTGACGCTACCCCGCTGCGCCCGTCTACCGCCCAAGTGCCCATATAGTCAGTAACGTCATAAACACTAACATGGGAGACGTTCAATCTGACATCAAACATTAACTATCACCTGTTCATTCAACCACCAAAGACCATTCACACTCACCGAGACCAACTCAACAATGCCCTGGCAGCAGATCGACCATGAGTTCACTCATCCTCAACTGGACTATAACTCCAAACCCAACTTCCAGGCCTGTATCAAAGTCTCCGTCTTCTTCAAAAAGATTGATTCAATCGACCACGATACGTTCTTCGGGCACTGGCAGACCGTCCATGCTGACTTAGCTGTCGCCACGCATGCTTTCCGAGACCACATCGTTCGATATGCGCAGGTGAGTCTCAGCACTAAACCAAGTCTATACCATAGAACCTAACAATAGTACAGCACCATCAAACCCCGGAGATGAAGGACAGAGCCAAGAGCTTAGGAGAAGGATTTCTCGACTATGACGGTTGCGCGCAGCTCTGGGTCAAGACTTGGGATGACTGGCTGGCGTTTTACAACAGCAAAGAGTATGCTGCAGCATTGAGCGATGACTGCAACAGATTCATGGCACTGCCCATGACATACATGGTGGGTTATGAGAATTTGGTTGTAGGAGATGCGCCTCGGTCACTTGGTGGCAAGGATGGGATGGATATCAAGACTTTGAAATAGGGCAGATACTGTAGTGATAGTTAGGGTTTAACAATTACTATTGCCTTTCTTCCTTATTCAGTGTAGAGTAATTCAATTCACAACTTTCTCCGCACAGCTCCATGTCCCGCGAGGGTAGCTTTTGGCTGTATTCATCTATTACTCGTCTCGGACTACAATGCACAGAAAACAGGCCCTGGATTGCCATCTCCCGGTTATCAAGGGCTGAATAACAAAGCACAAGCCTTTGGGGATGCAAGATTGTTCCATAATGGTATTCGACTCTACCTTGCCTGGTGCGACCTCATCCCCGGAATCGAGCAAAAGCATGGCAATGTCTCACACGGTGGGCAACACCAGGCCTGATTGTTCCCAATGATTCATCAAGGGAAACCAGGATTTGAGTGGTGGGTTGTGGAGCCCTTATAGAAAGGCAAGTCAACACCTAAGGATGTCAAAGGCCACGTTCCTAGCATTATTAAAGACTGGGCCGATCCTATGCTACGTTTTATAGAAGTAACAGATTTCATTACCCAAGCACATTGCTGTAGGATGAACAAAGAGAATACCTGAAGGAGTAAGCCACAAGGGATATCATCTATCTATATAGACGATTCTGTCTATCCTGTCTTATCCTATGCGCATGGGATGGGTATGGCAATCGAAGATGGCTACTAGCTAGCCAAATTGCCTGATGGCTTTGATCAGCGAGACCGAAGTGACGTTCCTACCAATTTCGGGCAGTATGAGAACCTGCGAGTCAATCATGCCACAAAAACACAGAGTGCGCTCGCTTCCCCTGCCGGGTATTACAGGGTTTACCTGACCCTCTGGCGTGGATAAGAGATCACATTTTCAACTAAACTCATTTCTTGCAGCAGCCTTTGCCTGTAGGGGTAGGCATCGGGGTAAACAGTAAATGCGTGCTCAATCTTGGAAGGTAGGAGAGTTATTAAATGCGTATGAGGAGTCTATCTCTGAGAGTCTCTCTCGATAAATACAAACAACTTTCAGCATGCCATAAAGATAAGCTCAAGAGAATCTCCATAGCGGCAAATGCCAAGAACAGATAACTTGGAGATACCGTAAAAGGCAATGGGCTAAGAGTTCTCAACGTGCGAGGATAACATTTCCCCCTTTTCAGCTTTTGCATGGCTCTGCATCACGAGCTCTTCGGCCAGGATAGTGTGCTTGATCTCTTCCTTTGCAAAAAGCACATCAATCTCCTCCAGGGTCTTTCCGGTTGTCTATTTTCTGTCAGTCATAACTTTCCATTAATGGAGTCGCGCTGGAGCATACCTCAGGGCACATGAAATAGACAAAGAAGATGGCGGCAAAACAAGACAAGGCCATCCAGATCCAGATCTTCCAACCAACCTTCTGGAGGGCAATGCCGCCAGCAAACACCGTGATGAAGGAGAAGAGCCATTCACCGAAGGCTCCAGCAGCAGCACCGGCATGTCGAAGCTTGAGGGGCGCGATCTATAAGAATTGTTATTATACAGCCCGCAGAGATGTCATACTCGGCTTGTAACGTACCTCTGGACCATAGAGCCAACAGATTCCAATCCATCCATAACCAAACACCATGTTATAGATAAAGATTGCACCAACAGCCGTCCATTGAGTAGCGAGTGTTCGGTTAGGCAGACCAATCATTGCGGTAAAGATCACCATGCAAATTGTCAAGACAATGGCGGACCACAGTAGAATGCTTCGCCGACCAAGTTTCTCGACAGTGTAAACCAGCGGAATGGTACCAAGGGCAAAAGCGGTGTTCATAATGGCAGCCAGTAGCTGAGCCATGAATGGTGATAGGCCAACCTGTGCGAAGATGACGGTGCTGTAGTAGACAGAAAGATTGATACCTGTTTATGCGAATGTCAGTTGTCTTTTTGGAACAGATTAGACATCAAGGTGTAGCATACCCATCATCTGCTGGATTGCCAATATAAGGAAAGAAATACGGATACGGCGTCCAACTCGAAGGTCGCTGGAGTCCCAAAAGAGATCCAAGAGATTGAAGCCTCTCTCGTTCTGTGATTCAAAGGCGATGTTGGTAAGAATAGAGCTCTTCACGTTCTGTACTCTCTCGTCGTGGATCTCAGCGTCGAAAATCTGGCACAAAGTTTTGTCTCCCTCAGCCTCTAAACCTCTGGCGTAGTACCATCTAGGAGTATCTGGGAGGAGCAGCATGATACCACCAGCGAGGAGGGCAAAAACGACTTGAAACGCGATGGGAATGCGCTGTGAAGTTGGTCAGCTCAGTCACCAGAAGAGCAGTATTTGAGGAGGGCCTGCTTACCCAAGAGATCTGGTTATCCATGCGTGTGAATCCAAAGTCAATCCAATACGCGAGAGCAGCACCTGCGACCAAGAAAACACATGTAACCGCGACAGCGGGCCCTCGCTCTTCTTGTTCCGTGCTCATTTCAGCTTGATAGGTAGGGATCGAACAGGAGATGAACTATTCGAGTCGATTGTTATACTGCGAGGTTGAGTTTGCGAGGAGTCAAGGGGAACCTACACCAATACCAATGCCCTGAAGGACCATTAGTATGTATAAAACGACACCAGGGTATCATGTACTCACACAAAGAATACGACCAACTATCATGTGAGGGACAGACCAAGCTGAAGCTTGGAGACTACCACCAACCACAACAAACGCGTTTCCCAGAAGGATGCACTTGCGTCGACCAAGAGGCATGCCAATAACGGTAACTGCAAGCGAGCAGACTGTAGCGGCAAGAGTGTATGCTGAGGCTATCATCGGGATGACATAGGTTCCGGTAGGGTTCTGAGTCGGTGATGATGAGAAAAAAATCCTTCATTTCGTTCGATGGACGATTATTACTCACTCCCATGGCATGAAGGAAAGGCTTGGTCTCCTGGACTCCACCAAGGACTCCTGCATCGTAACCGTATAGTAGGAAGGACTGTGACTTGTCAGAGAATGCCACGTCGAATATGCTGGATATGGGCCATACAATAGCGCAGCTTGCGGAAAGAAGGCGCTTGATCGTCTTTCCTTGGATCTTGGATTTGTAATTGGACAACATGTTGGAAGGTTGGAGGAGGGATGATCTGAGGAATACGGGTTGACAGGTGAGGCTGTCCTTGAGAATGTTGGCAACACAGAAGGGCGAGACTTGTCTACTTATCGTGTCACAATAAGTCACCAATAGTCTCGATCTGTACCAATTTAACAAGGCTTATTATCTTCAGATCCTTGATATACTGCAAGGGTTCCCCAGCAAACAGAATCCTTCTCTCCGCAAATGCTATCTTTCCCCGCGTGACCCCATCTACCCCAGGTTTAGACTTTCGGTGACGCTTTGCTGATCTAACCGCGATAAGAAACGGCGAACGCCACTGTTATCAGTCGCTAACGAGCGCGTGTCATTTCCACGGGATCTATTTCCGTGGCTCTTGCATTACGGATGTCAATGAGTCAGGTCACATTAGCAAGATAACGTTTGCTTAGGGAGCAGGGATAACATTCGCGTCATGTCCTTTGCACATGCTGTAAGGGTCATTGGTTGGGTTTGTGCTCCGCAAGCACAGCTTGGCATTTGTTAAGCCAAACTTTCCCGACCAGACCTCAGACTGGATATTGGCTATATATTGCTCCTCGAGTGAGATACAGTGGCTAAACAACCAAAGCCAATCGTTAATCAAACATTCGTCACCCCCTGCACCATGGCAGCTGCCCCAATCACCACATTCAATGATGAAAGCGAGACCAAGAGCTTGGCTGGGTCTCGGCTTTTCAAGCCAATCAAAATTGGCAATATTACACCTCAGCATCGCATTGCCATGTGTCCTTTGACCCGTTATCGAGCATCGGATGACCATGTGCCTCAGCCTCCATTCCAAGACTACTATGGTCAACGAGCATCGACGCCTGGTACGCTATTGATATCAGAAGGAACATTTATCTCCCCGGACCATGGCGGTTATGACAATGCTCCTGGCATCTACAATCAGGAACAAATCAAGGCCTGGCGCCTAGTTACAGATGCCGTCCACGCCAATGGTGGATACATCTTTTGTCAACTTTGGGCTCTAGGCCGTACCGCTTCTCCTGAAGTTGCAGACAAGGAGGGTATCGTCTTCCGCAGCTCCGGCGACATTCCTGTTGATTCGGATCACCCTAAGCCAAGACCTCTGTCCATCCCTGAGATTCATGAGACAGCTCAATCATATGCTCAAGCCGCCAAGAACGCCATCGAGGCTGGCTTTGACGGCGTTGAGCTCCATGGGGCGAACGGATATCTTATCGATCAATTTATCCAAGATAAATGCAACAACCGCACTGATATCTATGGTGGTAGCATTGAGAATCGCTCTCGATTTGCTGTCGAGGTAGTCCAGGCCGTTTGCGATGCTGTCGGCTCGGAACGCACAGGCATACGTTTCAGCCCTTGGAGTGTTTTTAACGACATGCGAATGGAGAATCCGATCCCTCAGTTCAAGGATGTCATCGAGAAGCTGAAGCCGTTCAAGCTAGCTTATCTGCATCTGATAGAGTCCAGAATTGCCGGGGCCCAAGATGTCGAGGGTTCCGACCAGCTGACGTTTGCCATCGAAGCCTGGGATCGACCTCTTTTGATTGCTGGAGGATTCACCCCCGAGTCCGCACGAACGCTGGTGGATGAGGACTACCCAAGTAAGGACATTGTCGTCTCATTTGGTAGATACTTTCTCTCTACACCAGATCTACCATTCCGAATCAAGCGAGGATTGGAGCTCAACAAATACAACCGTGAAACCTTCTATACTCCCATGGCATCGGAAGGTTATACGGACTATCCTTTTAGTGATCAATTTCTCGACTACATTAAAAAGGATGGGGTAGTGGGAAAAGCTTGATAACCGGCGCTGCAATGTGACTAGCTTGATGTGAATCTGTGGGTTTAGATAGAGTATGAATAGTCAGTCGAAGAAATGAGTCATGTAATATTCAGCATCTCCCCAGAGCTCTTGAAAAGTCACAATTAGACCTTTGAAAAACTCGCAAGGCATCCTAATGCTCACCAGCGTGGTGCCCCTAGACTTTATGAGTTTGCATATAAAATCATAATGCTCCTAGTCCACTAGTAACCGATGATGTATTGGCTGCGTGTGCCATTTGTTATGTTTCACAACATGGCGTTCAGCCTTCATCATTCAAGTTGTTGGGAGTGTGTCTCGACAAGAGAACACAATCAATCTAGCAATAGTAATGAGCGACGTTGTCGCGGAAACGGCTGCGGAAATAGATTCCGTGGATGATCCAAACCGTGAGGCGTTGGTGAACCTCGGGGATTGCTCATTTTAGCTACTCGGCCCCAGATTTTCCCCGCGCTGTCTAATTCCGGCTTCATGTTGATCATGGATTTAATCTTGTTATAACAGGTATCTAGTGAACATTATGAAATGCCAAGTCAAGTCCAACCGACAATAACTAACTTTGGCTTGTTTTGCCGATAAGCTATTCAAACTTCTGCCATCAGAGGTTAATCTGTTACTTCCAAGACACCTAAGAATGTCTGCCGGAAAAGTCGCAATCATTACAGGAGGTGCTTCGGGCATGGGCCTGGCCACGGCCATATCCCTAGCTGCCGCTGGTTGGAAAGTTCATATCCTCGACCTCAACAGGTCTGCTGGTGCAGAAGCTACCCGCCAAAACCCGGACCTGATCTTCACTCAGACTGATGTGAACTCATATAAATGTTTGTCTTCTGCCTTCGACAGAATTTTTATATCTGAAGGGAGACTCGATTTTGTCTTTGCTAATGCCGGCATTCTCGGGCTCGACAACTTTTATGACAAGGCGGACTCGCTTCCACCACCGGAGCCACGACAGTTGAGTATTGATATCAATTTGAAGGCTGTTGTGACTACCTCATATCTTGCGAGGCAATATTTCCTAGCCTCGGACAATCCTTGCCAGGATCCCGTTATAGTGATAACCGCCAGTATTGCGAGCTTTGTATGAACCATTACCCCCAAAGGAAAGACACACTGGGCTGACATCATAAAGTACGCACAAGAGTTCAATCCCCTATACACTGCCTCAAAGGCTGGTGTGCTTGGGTTCATGCGATCCGTGGCCTACCCATTCTTTAATGACGGGATTCGAATACACGCCATCTGCCCGGGCACTATTCGCACGAACCTGCTCACAAATGAGATGATGAAGTCTTTTCCGGATGAACATCTGACCTCAGTGGAAGCTGTGGTATCAACTGTTGAATGTCTGATCAAAGGCGGGAGCTTTACAGACTCGACGGGGAAACATGTATCCGGAGCTGACAACTATGGATTGGCTGTTGAGATTTTTGGCCCGAGTATCTTTTTCAGGGACCAGATAGAGTATAGTAGCAACGGGTTAAGGGAGCTATGTGAAGCTGCAAGCTTGAAAAATCAAAAGGCTAATTTAGCTAGTAAGGTTTAATACATGTAATTGACTTAGGGAATCGAAGGTGCCCCAGCAAAATCCGAAGACGCAAGCTACGAGACATAACTACCGGCAGCAGCAAGAATATGGTTATCAAGGATAATAGATTTGTAGTAAATCTCTAAATAGACGATATAGTATTTTACGAGAACAGTTCAGAATATGAGCCGTGTGTATCATCGTTTGTCGTGAAGGTATGAGGTGTAACGAAAAAGATGTTAGCTTTGAGGCATGCTATGAGACGTCTGAGGCCATAGGCTGGTTTGCGTAACCTTTTTGGCAGATTGTGCGAAGTTTGCACGACGACAAAGTAAAGGTAAGGCATGCGAAGCAAGATATGTGCATTCAAACGTCGGTCCATAAGACTAGCCTGAGCATATAAAACACATTTATAAGCACTTTCATAGATTCTAGCTCACAAGCTATTAATAAAACATCTTTAACATGCATTAAATCTACTATTAAGAGAGGTAACACTTTATACCGCTCAGCTTTATATCCTATGTAATCTACCAATAATCAACCTAGCACAGCTTAGTTTATCCACAGTTAGAAACACCACTATCAGAAATTATTAGCTAATATTAATTTTTGATTCTTGTATAACTTATATCTTACCAGCAGTATTGAATTTCCTGTACTATTTAATTACCGGCTGCCAGCTGATGCAAATAATAACTGTCAGGCGGCCTTCAGACAGCAACGCAGTTCAGTCATTCATTCATTCATTCATTCACCTATACACTGGAGACATAGCCATATTTCAAGGTTCATCATATGTATAGTCAGAGGTAGTTGAAAGGCAAGCTTCAAGAAGACAGTTATTTCGGTAACTATAACAGGCCCCAAGGGGGAGAATCCAATTACAAATTATTGTCTTCCAGTTCTTTAAAGAACATCTCATATACATTCGCCACCTCCCAGCTATCCCAAACCCCCTCACGTCGATGCATAGACCGCAATAACGTAATTGACCTCTTGCGAATCTCTCTACGTGTACACGAAGCGCAGATAGTTGAAAGCCCACGGACAATATGGCCGTCGAAGACGAACAATGGCCTCGATTGAGAATTCTCAAGATAGATAGCTTCCTCAAACTTATCCAAGATGCTTTCATAGTCAATTTTCTCGAACCCTGGGTCATTACAGTCCATCTTAAGAGAAGCTGACCACGTCGTCTGATACAACGATAATAGCGCCAGGCGTTGTTTGCCTTCGGGCGCGTACGCGGCCATGCGGGCGGAAGTGTTGAATAAGTGCAGTCTCGAACTCCAAGTATAGAGTAACGGCTGCGAAGGCTTGAGGGCTTGAGCCAAGGTCTCTTCATCTCTATGTGCAGGGCTCACGCTGACCTGCCCAACACATTCGCTCCGAGTGTCTCTGCCAGATGGGCCATTATCAAAAACTGCGTTCAAGGCAGATAGACACTCGTCCCTCTCCGCGATTGTTGCAAATGGTGTTTGGGGATAACCAATTTTTAATACCGGAGCATTCTCCGTTACATTGGAGAATGACGTATCTCCTGTGAATGCACCAATACTCTCGCCAAGAGAAGAGAACATAGCCGCCAAGGTGTCGAGAAGACCGCCGTCATTTTGATCTTGTCGATAAATGTTTCCGCTTGATGTCCTATCCCATGATCGAGCGATGCGAAGTGATTCTAGAAGCTGATAACCGGCACATAAATGGCGGACCGAGTTAGTATAACGCCTATGCAAGTTCTCGATGCATATGAGTATTGTGCAGCAGATTAATGCGATTCTTGTGTTATAGGTTGAGTTCTCTGCCATAACCTCTCGTATTAACGCAATAGCTTCACTGTATTTCAGATCAGCTTGATAGTCGTAGTTGATTGAATGATCGAAGCTGATTAATTTTCCAGGATGAGATGCGAGGAAGTGCTGGTGTGAAGCCCCCAGTGCACAAAGTGTATGCTTGATGGGTTTATTCGAGTTTGAAAGTGGGAGAATGATCTTATACCAGAACCCTCCAGAGCCATTGGTCATCTCAAGATCTGGAATAACCCGCTTCCTTACGTGATAATAAAGAGCATTGTCAGTTGAGTTGACTATGATACCATCAGTCAGAGCGGGTGGTATTGATATAATGGGAAGACAGGTTCTTTGATGGGAGTTCGGATGCAATGGTGATATAAACCATCCATTGCTGCTTTCACTGTGTGATTTAGAGCTGGGCTGTAGATAGCCATCACATGCCCATTGGTCTTTCCTGCACCGAAAACACGAAGGCTTGGCCTCATCACATTTCAGGTGACGGCGTCTACAGGACTAGATTAGTATCACAGCTTAAACCAGTCGCTATCATACAAGTACTGACTTGCTGCATGCCAGATTAGTAATGAGTCTCTCTAACTGGGTTAAAGACTATCACAAGCACTTACCAAGTTATGCATCCGGTTCTCACCTTTGACCCCTTCGCCCTCGTTCGCTTCTTTCGTGGTAAATCCTGAGATCGGCTCGTAACCATGGTGGACCCATTTGTTACAAGACAACTAACCGGAATTGCGTATCGGGAACTTGGCTGTCTTGAGTATCATCAGGCTGGTGCTAGCGCGTGGTAGATGACGCGTCGAGCCTTCAGCATAGAATGTCTTTCCCCTTGGAACGGTATCACCCGTTGTCATGCTATTGGTACTACCGTAAGTCGTCCCACAACCTTTGCAGAATGGGCCTTCGTCTCATGTGGTGGAATCACGGCTAGACTAAATATAGTTTAAGCTGTTATTGATTCTTAAATCCGGATATTCGTATAACGTACATAATAAGCGGGAACAACGATCTTGATCATAATGACCTGTACGCCGTAGTATTTTCCTCATCTCCACATAGTTAGGGCCCGTCCTGGCATTAGCGTTAGCCGAAGCTTGGCACCAGATGCCTCATACATAAGCCCCAATGCCGCTGTGCGATCCAGCACAAGCGACAGGTTACGTAATTTTTATATGTGGCGCCAGACTTCAAATATTTAATGGGGCGGATCATGACGCGTCCCCTATGAGCAGGCGTCGGACGGCTTGGACGTATAGGGGTTGAACAAGGAGAACACCTGCTTGTTGGGCGTGAACAACAACTCAGACGACGAGGGCGATGATGTGGACTACCGAGTCAAAGGCGTATGAGATGCAAAGCTTGGTCGAGCGGTGCATATTTGAAGTTGAGATAATATCTGTCAACTTATGATAGGAGGGTATAATGTGACCCTCAGAGGCCAAAATGAACGATAAGCTTAGGCCATGTTGAAACCCGATGCTCCGATTCAAAATGCCTTTCTTTTAGCAAAAGGGCAGGTGCAAAGATACAGATTAAGTCTAGTCGGAGAGGTGATAGGTTCAAGGGTACCTGTAATTTTATCAGCCACTCATGAAAGGGAGATGGTTATAGTTTATATAACTTACCTAACACCAGATGTGAGGATATGCTATGTGAGACGTTTTGCCCGAGTTATTAATGCAATGCATCGCTAAGAAAGATAGTCAAGTCAGCCTGCGGTACAGAGATATTGCTTGCAAAACAAATTGGCATTTGTGACAAGTTAGACATAATAAGTGATTAACATATCAGTGCGTGTATCTTGACTGAACTCGGAACAGATATTCACTAAATTGCAATAATGATTGTCAACTTGGACAGGCGTTGACATGCTGAGCGGCGATGGCATCCGTTGGTGAGGCTTGCGCACGTCAGTCGCACCATATGATTGGAGTTACCAGGTTTCCAAGAGTCAGACTGATTAGACTAGTCCCTTAGGCCTACTGAGGTGGAGCCAAGGATTTAAGGTGAAAGGAGGTTGGTTACCCTAGTTGAGGCGGGGTAGCTGTTAAGCTTAACCTAAATAATATTTTTTTATAAACTCACTTCTAATCTAAATTATAAAAATAGTTTAAACTTTAAACTTTTTCTTATATTATAATATATCTTATAATTATAATTTTATTTTATTAATATTAATTATATAATATATATTACCTTTATTATATAATATAATTAAAGTTTTCTATATATATAATTATATAAACCTTTTAATAATATAAGACTATTTATCTATATTAGCTAAACTAAGGAATTATAACGCCCTCTTAGAATTATATTAATTTATAAGAGAAAATTATTATAATTAAATAATAATAGTATTATTTTCTTAAGTTTAGTTAGTAGCTATAATAGGAATATAAATCTAATTATGAAAAAAAAAATTTATATGCTTTTTAATAGCTAAGTTTCCGGAAAGAGTTATATAAGATAAGAAATCTTAGCTATGGTCTTGAAAACCTAAGCGTGAATATTCCCTCCTGGAATACCACAAGACCAAAAGCAAATATCCCCCTCAAAGGGTCATAGTAGGTAACTTGATCCTATAAGCCTGCACCTTTCAGCGCCACCCCTGAAGCTAGGCCCGGTAGTAACTAGACAGGAATGTAATAAGAAGTACAGGCCTAATTCTTTAATTGACTCAATGGCTGTGGTTGTAAACTGAAGCGGCAGCATGGTTTAGGTAGTGAACTGATTTTTTTATTAATGCCTTAAACTTATTATTTAATAAATACGGAATAATAAGGCCACAGAAAGGAGCTTAAATTACAAAGATTGTCCTGTTCCTATTGTTTCTATTGTCATGATGATAGCAAGATAGTAATACACACGTTTCAATAAAGTCCCTTACTAAATTACAGGCCAGGTAAATCAATATCCAGGAAAGTTAAAAGCTTTCTCTGGAGCTGTATTCTCTGTCCCACCATTATTTGGCAAATCACCGAGAAATGCTACTTGCATCTTGTAAAGGTCTGAGTGATCCCGAAGAGCCGAAGCCTGGGCTAGTACATCCCCTAGATCTTGCTGGACATCAAAGTATCTGCCATTTAAGCAGTCTTTTGCGATACCAGTTGCTAGAGCCACAGATACCATTCCACTTAGATAAGGAGAATCTTTAAAGTTCTCCAACACTTGAGCCATTCCTTTTACGAGGTGAGAGTATGCGCCCATTATCTCCTCTGGATGTACTTGAGAAACAGTTAGCCGGGCAGCAGATGGGATAGTAAACAGGAGTAAAATACCTGCTGAGGTCATTTGTGAGGGTACGGCACCAGGATGGATGGCATACAATTGAATACCATCATGGCCTCCCAGTTGCAATTCAGCCTGCCAAGAGCTAGTAAGACGTATCAATGCGGCTTTGCTAGTACTGTAAGTGGTGTTAAAGGGGAGATCAACTGTCCCGCCCCTGGAGGCTATGTTGATGATGGTACCACGTCCGGCCTGGATAAAGCCTGGCATGACGAGACGCATCAAGAACAACGGGCCATGTAAATTGATAGCCAAGTCTTTGATGATAGTCGCGGGGTCTTTAATATGCATCTGGATGGTCAAATGTGTTAGCGAAGCCAGAGGTTTCGGAATAGCTGTAAGCAAACCGGTCCTATACTATCCACCCCTGCATTGTTGATAAGTATATCAATTTTGCCCACGGTACTGTCCAGCTTGAGGTTCAGTTAGCTAACTACTGGACACAATCCCAGTCAGGCTATTACTTACTTCCTTGATGAGATTCTGGCAGCTGTCCAAATCTGACACATTGCAATGGATAGGCGTCGCAGCTGCGGCACCGAGAGCGCGACATCGATTCAGGAAATCGAGAGAAGGTTTGTTCCGGTTGTAAGTTAGGACCAGGTGGGCTCCGGCGACAGAGAAGCACTCTGCCATTGCCCGACCTATTGTGCCAGTCGACCCTAAGAATCTCAAGTCAGCATTATAAAGAGAACAAAGGGTAGTGTTTCTTAATTCTTGCCTGTAAGGAGCGTCACTTTGCCCCGTAGTGAGGCTTTGAATTTGATGGGGTGAACGAATGGATACACCTCATTGTGTAACTTTGGTTCAAATTGATCCATGACTGAAAATATAATTACCAAATCAGATGGAACAACTCTTGACGTAACCTAAATAGAGGTATATCAGATTTAAAATTACTTGACAGTGACTATATACTGCAGAACTGTCAAGATAGGCTGCGAGATACTTGATTGAGTGTAGAAGTAGGTCGCTTACCACGTGCGTCGTGTTCGTATGGGTAGGGTTCCATCCCGATATCGTGGGGCCCCGCGTGGGGTTCCGACAATACTTTACTAATGATCGGGATCTTGCTGACTCGGCTCCACGCAGAAGAGAGAATTGACTCAGTAAGTCTCAGTCTCACTGTTTGTGCTGCTGCATAACAAATCAATCGGAATTGCTTCGGCCCCACCCATTTTTCACGGGCCTCCCTATAGGCATTGGTATCTTCAACGACGTTTGAGGTTAGGGCAGGGATATAACCAGGAACATGAAGCTTCATTAGATTTACAAAGTTTAAATAGGATCAGTTTGACTCGCCACTAAGTTCACCGTTGAAACCTTTCCAGATCAACCATCACTTATACCTCAAAGCTCTTTTCGCATATTACTTGCAATTATTCACCATGTCAAGAGACAAATACTCAGCCGAGGTCGACAAGATCTGGAAAGAGCATCTTATAGATCAGCCTCCGCAGACTCCTCAACAAATTAAAGCTGGTAAAGCACTCATTGAGCTTTTCCTAGCGACGTTCGTGTACCATGACTACGATCGCACCCGTGAGCTGGTCTCTAAGGATTACATCCAGCACAATCCCTCGCTTGGAACTGGAGTCGATTCAATCATCGAGTTCGCCGAGAGAGAAACCAGAGAGCCCAACAGACCTTTCCAATTCAACTGGAAGCGCATTTTCGTGGACGGAAACTACGTGATTGCCCACAATCATGTCGAGACTGGTGATGGAACTGACGGCGTGAGAGTGGTTGAGATACTTCGATATGAGAATGGAGTTTTTACGGAGCACTGGGACACTGTCACCCCTGTTCCTCCTAAGTCAGAGTGGAAAAACCAGAATGGAGTTTTCTGAGTGCAATAAGGAGTTATGCTGCCCCTGGGAACGGCCTTGACAGGGGTTTCATTCTTGTCTTCATTCTATATTCGATATGTGGTAGCATCAATGCAATCCATTGTCGGAGGAGCAACATCAGTCCCAAAAGGAACGATTAGGTGCTCTTTATTGCCCAGTGCTTCAACAGCCGCAAGGATAGTCTCCTAGCGTTTAACGCCGGGGGCCTTTCGCAAGCAGTAGCCATAGCTAGTTCTGGGCTGTATGGCAAAGCATCCTCATCAGATACCGAAACCACGAGGCGGTAAGTTGCTGTCAGAAAATGTTGCAGATTTTGAAACCTATAAAGCTGCTTTTGACTTCTTATAAGTGATCTACCTGTATACCCCAAGAGAATAAGGCCTCTCGATCGATACTTGTTGGAATAGAGATCCTCGCTTTTAGCTCTATAAGGTTTTGAGTAACTAATGTAATTCGAAGCTTTATTATCCTGGAAGTCTTTTATCTGGGTAACTCTTGTAGTGCTCTCGTAAATTCAATGCCAAAACCCGAGCCAGTGGCCAGTCAAGACCCTCAAGTGTTTTTGTAGACTCATGTATCAGCCTCCTGCTTGCTCCCTCTTCCCACAGGCAACCCACGCCACCGAGATAAAGACGGCTGTCATTGTTTTGAGTTATCCATGCTTTTAGCATGTCTGTGCCCTGATCCAACCGAACAGTTACCAATAGGTTCAGGTCCTCCACCTCTGGCTTTTTACCCAACTCGATCCAGGCCCAAATCATGACTGCTGCGAGCAAGAAACCCATTGTCTCATGCTGTGACCCTGTTTTCCTGTTGCGAATCATTGACCAAGCCTTACAGGCGTGCATAAGAGAGGCACGTGCTTCGGTTTTGCTTTGTATCCAGGTACGCAACTTGGTGTTATTAATGGCCCTCTGGCTACTGCTCACACGCCAGCCCGTAAATGCATAAAGTTCTCGGACGGGTAAATAGATGAACATTGATAGTAGGTGGGAGAGACTTTGAACGGCACCAGAGAGTTTTGTTGGTGGTAGCAGCGCCTCGGCATGTTCCTGGAGGATATTTAGGTAGATTGGAGCACGATGAAGCTTTTCGGCATGATATTTGACTCCAATATTCAGCAATAGTATGTTGAAAGGGTCAGGGCTCAGAATCTTTTGAGTGCGATAAAATTCAAGAAGCACGCTTCGAAAAGGCAGAGCGTTGTAAGATGCTAGATTATCCAGCTTTCAGCTAAACTTCGGTGACTTGTTCTGTTAAACCAACTTACAGGTATTTCGATTTTTAAGCCATGCTTCTTGACTTGAGGCCTCCCAGAGTGACGGATGTGAAGGCGCTGGTAACTGTAGGCAATCTAGAGTAATTATTCCAGGGCCTGCCCAAAAACAGCTGTGCTGGCAATCGAGTATCTTATATGTCATCAGTCCTGGCATTTCATCGTATGGTTATATTTCCGTATGCTGGCTTACCCAAAGCGAGTAAAAGAGGCGCTGCAGGCTTTCCTTCTTGATCCATTCGGCCCAATTGTCATAGCCCGAACTTTTAGTTTCAAGTGGTCGACCAAACTCGTCAAAATTGGTGTAGCACGCCATCTTTCGACACAAGGTCTCGATGAGAGTCATCGTGGTAGGGACAGCCTCACACAACGACATTTGTGGGGAAAACATTATGCCAAGTAGATTGAGAAGAGCTGCCTGGACCAAGCAGACATCTGGCAGCAAGTTTCGCACGCGTTCAACCTGGTGGTAACGTTAAGGCCTGGGATATAAACTTCATCATTTGACGGACAGACCTGGACATGTATGGCTCGTCGGAGGAACTCTTGTAAATCATAGATAGTGGTTCTCGAGCTTTTTGCCCGAGAGAATATGGAGCCAACAGCAGCAATGCCAAGAGACAACATCCATTTGTCCCTGGTTGGGGCAAAGGTTGCTCTGTGCAGAAACGGGAGAAGGGAGTGGAACTCTTCAAAATATACTTGTATGAAGGTGTTAATATGAGTGATTGGTGGAAAGTTTCTGCAAGTGAACGGAGTCCAATATTCGTCGTCACTATTGTAACGTGCAAAATGCTTGGTCATTTCTTCGTACACGTCCTCGGTCAAACGCGGCACATGGCAGTAATCTTCTGCTCGCCACGCATCATAGTCTTGGGAGATGCCTTCATTGAATATTGAGACATTCACGTCACTTGACCTTTCATGTGAGGAATCAGGGGACTTGAACGTTTGGGTGAAGGTCGGTGCCGGGGCTTCTGTTTCAAGACCCTCCACAGCGGGTTCACTGGGAGCTGACGCTGGCATTTCTTGCGTTAGAGCAACATGTTGAGGAATTGTTGTCTCGGCCAATGAGTAATCAGGAGCTGACTGGGATGATAGGCTTGGGGTTTCATCTACAAGCGAGCGATAACCCTCCAGGCCCAAGAAAGCTCCTATGTTGCTGAAACCAAAACCTTGAAGGTCTCCATGAGTATCAAAAACGGACCCAAGATTCTGGTCTAGGACCAGTGGTGGCTGAGATAAAAGATAAGTGATTGCTTCCACGTCATTTGATGACCAGAACGGGAGTGGAGCGTTATTCATTTCCGAAAAATCCCCAAACTGCACAGGATTGACCTCTGGCTGATTCTCCAAATTTGAGGAAGTGGCCGCCTTTTGCAGCTCATGATTTGGAACGCTGGGTACTGATGTTTTACCATGATCGACGACAGAGCTTTGCGTGCTCTGGGACGCACGTCGGTTTCTTGACTTTGCATATGAGCAGTCTAGCTCCTTCGATGTACATCTACTACAGGGTAGTTGACCATCGCAGCGTTGCTTTGACTTGGCGCACTGCGAGCATGCCTTGGCGACATATGTCGTTCTGCGGTGCTTGGCTGGTACCTCAGAGAGATCGTGAATTTGCATGTGCCGGATAAGGACGTCTCTTTCGATGCATGTTAGCTATGGATGTCACTACCGAGATTAGTGTCTAATCGCACTTCCGAGAGAATGCAGCGTTGCATTCATTGCAGGGAAAAGGTCGCAGCCCCATGTGTCCTGTCCTATGGCGTTGAAGATGCTCGGTCCTGACGAAGACTGCATCGCAATCGGGACACGATAAAGTCATTTTCTCTCGTATGAGGCATTCCGACGCGGGGGTCGGAATCTAAGCGGAAGATGATAAGGTGAGCAAGCAAAAGAGATGATAACGTGGGGAAATGTTGGCCGGGCCCCTTTTTCTATCTGCCAGAGCAAAGGTGACTAGACCCAGCTCGGGGCGGTCAAACAACCCCGCATATCGGCATCGGCCCCACTGGTAGATCGTTACTACTCGTGAAGGTGACCCCAAGTGGGTATCTTGGCGCGGCATTGGTATGCATGTCCTCCGCTGGCGTGTTTGTTTATCACCAACAAGATCACATTGCAGGGGCTGAAGGGAAATGAAATATATAGTCAACAAGATCCCACAGAGTCAAGCCTAGGCGTGAACATATCTCATTTAAAAGTTTACATACCTTACTTCACCATGTACGACTGCAAAGGCAAAGTCGTTGTCGTGACGGGTGCAGCCCGCGGTATCGGTCAAGCCGTATCAGTGAAGTTTGCAGAGCTAGGAGCCACTGTCGTGCTTGCAGACATCCAACTCGCACCGCAGGAAGAGACTGTCGCAGAACTCAAACGCAAAGGGCTCTCAGCTTACGCCTTCCAATGCGATGTAACGAGTGACGAATCGGTCGCGGCATTTGCAACCTCCGTCTTGGAGAGCGCCGGTGTCCCTGATATCGTGTACAATAATGCGGTTCTTGTTCGCTCGGGCGGGGTGCTTGATGCCAGTCCAGACAACATTCGACATGAACTCGACGTCAATGTTCTGGGCTACTTGCGCATGGCCCAGGCATTTTTGCCGCACATGATTAGTCGAGGGGAAGGGTGGGTTGTCAACACGGCCTCACCAAATGCCTTCATTCCACCGCCTATTGTGGCCGAGAATTTGCTGGGCTATTGTATTACCAAGGGCGCCGAGGTTTCCATGTCATATTGCATGGCCACTTCACTTCGACCTCGAGATATTAAAGTCAGTGTGGTATTCCCTGATCTGACCTATACGGACTCAGTCCATGAGTTGAAAGGAAACGCCTCTGATGAGTTTCACCGCGGCTTCGTGAACTTTGTCACAACCCAAAGCCGCTCGGCAGATCTGGTGGCGGGGAGGATAGTTGATAAATTGGTTAGCACAGAGGGATATGTTGTTAACGTCTCTGACGGTTTTGAGGAATCGCTAAAGGCATGGGTAAACCAAGGAATTGAACCAGGGTTTAGTTTACCGTCAGCAAGCTTGTAGAGCTCCATCGAGTTGCTAGTATGACTATTTGCCAATTTCCTTCATTGCAGGGATTTATCCAGAATATGTGTATGAGAATGTTACCTCATAGATGACATGAGTCATTTCGGACATTCCTATAGCTAGCTATACAAAAGACGACGCCGTTTAGTCCAATCTCTTTACTATAGTTACCTTACTTCGCTGGAGGTGAGCTAGACTCACACATTTACAAATGCAACCGCGTAACCCTTCTCACATTACCAACCAGAATTATCTGCCTTGAAGAGTTAACCTTGCAGCCAAGTAGGAAACTCGTGTATCTACTATCCCGCAAGTGCTGTAAGCACGACAGTTCAGAAATATGGGTACTATGGAACTGCTGGCCCGACTTAACCCCGCAACTACCAACAGCAATATGGAGAGATTAACCCCACCCCCGCAATTCCGAGAACAGGAAGCATGCCTCCTAGGTCTGAATGAGGTCGGAGCACCGGGATCAGAGGCCAAATACTCTGTGGGTTCGCCAATAGATGTATAAAGTAGTCAGGACCTTGGAGAGACATATTGAAGATCAATCTCCTATCTCCCACATATCCATACTCATCTTCACCAATTCCTCGTCATGGCTTACAACTACGCAAAGCTCGGTCACCTTAGCTCTTCAAAAGACCCCCAATATGACATTATTGTAGTGGGCTCTGGTCACAATGGCCTCATTGCAGCGGCATACCTCGCCAAGGCCGGCAAGAAAGTTCTCGTTCTTGAGAAGGCGTCTTATCCTGGTGGAGGAGTTGCCTCTTTGACCATGGCAGAAGAAGGATTTACCAGTGAACGACACAGTGCCATCCATCAAATGATCCTGGCCAACCCCCTCGTGACCAAGGATGAGCTGGAACTTCAGTCAAAGTATGGCTTACGCTATCTCCCACTGGAACCGGCCTACGCAATCATCTTTGAAGATGGAGTTCTTCCACTGTACCATGACGTGGAACGGACCGTGGACACCATCACAGACTTCTCCAATGAAGCAGAAGGCCAAGCCTACTTGAAGTTTGCTACATTGGCCACCAAGTTTGTCGAGCTATCCATGCCATCTATGTTCGTTCCACCAACAACGCCTGTAGACCTATCGGCCCACCCAGAGATAGCCCAAGCGGTCAAGTTTGCGGCTAAGAATAGCTCTCTTGAAGTAGTGGAGCAGTACTTCAAAAGCCCAACAGTCCAAGTCGCCATTCTCCGATTCGTCACGGAAGTACAGCTGGCACACCCGAAGACCCCAGGCACAGGCGTCATGGCCTACATGGCTATTGGTCTCTTACACAAATACGGATTGGCTGTACCTCAGGGAGGCGGTTCAGCATTCACCGCGGCCGTGATTCGCGCCATAGAGGCCCACGGAGGTGAAGTGCGCCTCAACACTGAAGTCATCAAGATCGTGACCGAAAGTGGCCGCGTAATCGGTGTCCGTACAAGAGCCGGTGAGATTCGTGCCCAGAAAGCTGTAGTCGCCCAGATCCACCCTCACATCCTTGACAGGCTTGTAGATGGATTAGATCCAGAAGTTACAATTCCAGCAAAGGAAACGAGACTTTCTGAGTACACTCTTTTTGTTGTCCATGCAGCCATGGAGTCGCCGCTGAGATTCCGGGCTGGCGGTGTAGCCAACAAAGTGGTCATGAATACCATCTGTCCTGGGAGTCTCGAGTCACTTCTCAAAAGCTACGAAGAGATAAATCAAGGCAAGATACCTGAGGACTTAATCATTGGGGCCTCTATCATCACCAACGCTGACCAGACGAGAGCTCCGCCAGGGAAATCGCTTCTACATGCTGTGGTGATGGTCCGAGCCGACAACGCTGAGGTTGGCTTCCATGGATGGGATGCAATCAAGGATGAAGTCACCTACAAGGTTTTTCAGTACTTATCCAAGTATGTCGAGGACTTGACACCTGATCAAATTCGGGGCTATCATGCGGTGACCCCCCTTGATCATGAGAATGACACGTCCAGCTTCCAAAGAGGTGATATTTGTGGCCTCTCAATGGCTTTCGATCAGATGGGCGGTTCTCGTCCTACCCTTGCCTTGGCCCAATATCGAGTTCCTGGCGTCAACGGTCTTTACCTCGCAGGCCCTTTTATGCATCCAGGTGGCGGGGTATGGGGCGGCGGTCGTCCTGTGGCAATCCGTGTATTGGAGGATCTAGGTATAAAATTTAAATTGTAGTCGGCAAGGGTCTCAATCGTTTCTGGTATCTCTCTATATAACAATTGCAGCGGCTGGCATCAGTGTCGTCTCCTGGATAGCGCAAATAATGGCAGTTACTGCTCAAGCCATCCAATGAAAACTGACGGTAGAGACCATTGATCAGCTGGTTCGCAAGCGTGAGCGACGTTAGTGATGAGGTCAGTTACTTTTAGGTTCCGCAATCATTGCCACAAAGAACTGATTCTAAAACAAAATTACACATTGACGGCCAGCGAATGAGCTGGCTGTCAAGAAGGCACAATGCTCCCAAGCATAAGCTTTGCGGTTCGATTAACTGGTATCTACTTAAAGCCAATGTCCTTGAGGGTTGGTAGTTGTTTTGCATCGTGTTGTTACTAGTTAAACCTTCCGCTGATAGCCTCCCTTCGTGAGTCACCAGGCTACTACCGGGCTGGCTTGTAGTGTTGTCTCATCGATTTCGTAGCCTTACCCTTTTCTCCAAACTCATCTATATTAACCTTACACCTGCACGTGCTGCTGTTGAAGGGGAGATTGACGATATGGAGTGGCCATAAAAGTCAATATGGGAAGATTTTAAATGACTCACAACCCTTGACCTGTGTTGGCAGCCTCAACTCTAAGAAGACGAACCATTAGCCAGGGGATATATGCATGGCAGCCTTGACGCCACTTTGGGTCTGCCGAAGCTTGCACCTTGCTTTCATGGAAACGTAATAAGACAGAGAAGCCTCGAGTTGTTTCTTTTGAGAACGATGGATATTGGACTTTCTCCTTTTATAACCAATGACCCAGGGAATGACAGTGGATCTTGGTTGGCTGACTTCCGTTTTCATCTCGTGATTTGGGCACCTAGCGTGGTTATTTGTCTACTCCCCTAATGTCCTCCTGGTTGATCTGCTACTGGAATAGACGTGGCAAATATCATCATAGCAAGACTTCTGTCTCCACGGGCCTCCAAGGCAATCTCTTGTGTTGACTCCCAATGCAGCTGGTGTGCGCCACGGAAAGACACGTGCAGATTCTTCGAGTGTAGTCGGACATTTCCAACACAGACAAAGCCCCATGGCTACATCAAGTGCCAATTTGTTATGCCTCTTGTTCCTGAGCCTCTTTATTTGAGGCATGAACCGGAGCTTACATGACCAATAGCCACAAATTTAAGGTTCGGCAGCTGCCGCAACCCTTGGCTGTCTTCCGGGAAAGTTCTGGAACGCAGTCCCGGGAGTATTTTAATTCCGAGGCGGCATTTATTTATCATCGTTTCCTTTACTAAGTAGCCTGCTATCCACACAACCGCGCGCCAGTTACTAATGTCCATCCCGGTGTGTCGGATGTATTATACTACCGATGTTTCACTCGCATATTTGCCACGTAGGTATATGAACGGTCTCCGTACCAACTAGAATAATTTTGAGAACCATCATCTTCTCTCTTCTTGACTGTTCCTGGATCGACAGACATACCCCATTTTCGAAAGAAGAAGCAGAAAAACAAAACACAAAGACCATGGCTATCATCGCTGTTGCTGGAGGCGCCGGAAAGCTCGGCCGTGCAATTGTTGAAGCACTTGTTGAACAGGGTCAGCATAGCGTGGTGGCCCTGGCTCGAGAGGTAATTATATCGCAATACAAGGCTTGGCAAGAAGACATCTCACACATCTTTCAGGCTAAAGATGTACAAGGAGCCCAGGTGATCGCCGTGGACTACACCGACGTCGATAAGCTTGCAGCCACGCTTGAGACCAACAGCATTGAGACTGTCATATCCACCATTAACTCTATGGACGACGTCTCGGCTGAACTGAGCTTGATCAAGGCAGCTGAGAAATCGGCATCTACCAAACGATACATCCCTAGTATCTGGGGCGTCAAGTACACTGAAGAGTCAGTGCTGCCGTGCTCCTAAGATTCTGGAATAACAAAACTAAACTGCGAGGACAGGATCGCATCTTATTTCCCCATCGCTCGGGCCAAGCTCAGCATCATTGCTGCATTAGAAGCAACGTCGACCCTCGAGTACACTGCTGTGTACAACGGCTACTTTGCTGACTACTGGGTGCTCCCCAAGGTTAAGTCTTACCAAAGCCCTCTCGCTCTGGTAGTCGACATTGCGAACGATTTTGCCGCTATTCCTGGGTCTGGCAACGAGCTCGTGACCTTTACCCACACCTTTGACGTCGCACGCTTTGTCGCGGTGCTCGTTGGGGCGCCCAAGTGGGACAAGGAGTCCTATATCATTGGGGACAAGGTCTCGTGGAATCAATTCGTGCAATACGCCGAGGAGGCCAAGGGTGTCAAGTTCACCGTCAAACACGACTCGATCGAGGACCTCAAGGCCGGTAAAATCACGGAGCTGCCCTCTCACCCGCACATGTACCCCTTCTTCCCCAAGCCGATGCTGCAGGGCTTTTTTGCTGCTTTTGGCCGCATGTTCATTGAGGGGGCGTTTGACCTCAAGCCTGAGCGTACGCTCAATCAGGAATTCCCTGAGGTCAAGGCACGAAAGATTAAGGACCTTCTCTTTGAGGCTTGGGGACAGTAGTTTCAACAGTGGTTTTAGCATCAATTGACCCCCGGTTGAGTATATCAACAAGTGGAACTTTGTGGAGAAGCAAGCATCCTTGCCAGTGATTACTAAGAGCTGTGATTGATGATCGGATGTAATTTAATTCCGACGCTGGTGACATTTGACAAATCAAGTGGGGTAAATTATAAATATGGGTCTGTCAATTTCAGAAACCCCGTCAACTTTCAAGGCAAGCATTAAACCCTTGACTTTTCCTTCTATAATATTCGCTATCAATGATTTGAACCTTTGAATACAAGAAGCGGAATGGAAATTCAAGACACACAGGCCGTCGGCGATGGAACAAGTAGACGAACTGGTAATGTAAGCCCCCGCAATCTGACGTCTTACCCTGCAGGCCTAAGTCCAATAGGCTTGTGTTCCGTGTAGAAGTAGCAAGGTACGATGTGACGGCAAATTACCAAGCTGTCAAAGATGCTTGAATCGCAGGACGAGATGTCACTATGGCGAGCGGAAAGGAAGAGGGCGTGGCAAAAGGTGCGTCTCTGTTGTCGCATGAAAGACGCAAATGTTGATTTCGAATAGCAAGCAGTACATTCAAACACTCGAGCAACGACTAAAGAATGTTGAAGTTGCACTACAAGTCTCCCCTACAGTCAATGAAGATTTAAGTCAGGTTTCTGCAGACCCTCGACACTCTCATGAGACATCCAATTCCCATGGGACAACAATGGCCGATCGAACTCGATCTCTGCCGTCGAGATGGCCGGAAGAGATCACCAGAAACATATTTCAGGCTCAGAAGAACAAGAGCAACCTCGAACGAACAGTCTTCGTCCCACTTCCCCCGAAAGAGCACATTTTACACTTTATATCCAGCGCCCTAGAAGACATGTATGAAGTACAGTCGCTCTTCAGCACTGACGATGTTCTGAAGCTTGTCAATGACCAGTATTCGGCCGGGTCATCAAACTGTCACGCCAATCCTACTCGTTGGGCAACGCTGAACGCTCTTATTGCCACGGGCATTCACTGGAAGGCCGACAACAAGGCGATAGAAGAATTATTCCCCGTTTCGTGGGCATACTTCAAAAATGCCTTTGCTATTTTTCCAGAGATCGTCATGAACAGTGACGGTATCGACTCCTGTCAAGCGATGATTGCTATGGCATTCTTAATGAGGGGAACCGCCGACGCCCGCGCATTCACTGTACTGCTATCCGCGGCTGCACATGCTATCCACTGTATTAGCTTGAACTTGGAAGATCTTTGTGGATCGAGTGACTTGATCGATATAGAAAGGCGTAGGCGGTCTTTCTGGACCATATACGTGCTCCGATGCAATGCGTCGCTCAACTTTGACCTTCCCGCCCCATCTGATGAAGTTAGTGTTGAGCTTCCATCACAGGGCCTCGCAATAGATACCAGTTCCAGCACACATCTACTGAGGCATATGTCAACGTTGGCACTGATTCAGTCGAGAATAAGTCGATGCTTTTGCCCTGGCTCATCGCTCTCGAAGAGCATTGATAAAATGACTCAGGCTCTTGCTGAATTAGACAAGGACCTCGAATCATGGAGGACAGGACTGCCTTCAGAAGTTCAGCCTACAGCATTGGCCCAAGTGGATAATCTGGGCATCATACAGCTCCACTTTGCCTACTATGCTTCTACTTGGAAAATTTATACAGCTATCGGGAAGATCTTTAATGTCCCTCTAACGTTGATCGAACGAGAACAGCCAAATCTGCATCTGAGTACGCTTATCCCCACACATAGCGCCAGAGCCACGATTTCTTTGCTTCAAGGTCTGTCCTCACAGCCACTGGCCTCTCTATGGTAGGAAGCCCATCTGCTTATATCTTTTGTATGCTGATGTCCCAGGCAAATCATCTGCTACCCCACGTGCGCTGTTCTAATTCTTTTGACAGCCGTGCTTCATAATCCTGCAGATTCAGAGGTGGCTATGAACCTCACATGGATTGGAAAGTTTGTTGGCTTTCTGAAAAGTTTCCAAGACCAAGAAGGATGTGATCTGAAAGGTCTCATCAGCTTTTGCTCTGAGCTATACGATATTGCATCCTTCGCCCAGCACAATCCAGCAGAACAGAAGGATGAGAATGAGAATGAAACAGCAGGGCTGTGGCAACAGTATACAGTAGGTCACAATTCTACTACGAGGGAACGCTTCTGACCTCTTAGGATCTATGTGTTTGTCTGCAAGGTTCTGAAGACCGCATGCAACTTGCACAGGGCCTTCTAACCAATATGCCGATACCATGCGCAAAGGCAAATAAAGTGTTCTCTGGCATATTGACTGAGCCAGGGGAAGATGGGTTTACAATGCTTGTGCCACATATACTCAAACCAAGTTCATTTAACTTCTTTGGTAACTTATAGCTTAACGTTATAAACAAAATTGTCACTATCAAGCATTACACAAGCAGCACATCAACACCAGCCATACTATCACGACCAGGTCAATGGCTGGGGAATGGCATACCAGCCCATCCTATACTCTTCGCCTGTGGACTGTGGCGGATATCCGGCTGGCACTACCATCGCTGTAGGCACATCACTTCCCAGCAATAAGAGGTATGCGTACATCGATATGTATGCCAGTACAGACGGCGCTAAAACGTTCAAATTCCTGAGCCATGTTGCTTACGGGCCAGGCCCAGAGACCGTCACCAACGGCGATAAGGCCATCTGTGAAGCCTCTTTGGTGGTATTTAAGGGAAAATTAATTATCTACTACTCTAATTAACGCGATCCACGCTATGGCCAGACTTATTTTATATTTTATATATTATTAAGAAGCTTAAGTATAATAAAAAGAGCTAAGAAATTGAGAAGTATTATTATTCTTATATTATAAATATGAAAACAGGTTTAGTCTTATATTTAATTATTTATTTATTAAATATAAATTTAATAATAATTATAAGTAATACTTTTAATACTTCTCTCTAATATTAGTAATATATTTATTATATAACTTAAACCTTTTGCTTATCCTTAAACTTCTAATAATAAGTACATAACAATCTTTATTTTATTCCCTCAATATATATCTTCTTTTATTGACTTTAGATCTTTAAGGTCTGACTCAGTAACCCTGAGAACTAAACCTTTGTCACGAAACAACATGTAGGAGTCAAACTGCATTGCCTTGTGTGGCTCAGCCAGTTGGAAGTCGAAGTGGCGAAAGAGCTAGGATTCTCGTTAGCATCTATGCAATTGCATCGGTTTAGTCCATACCTCAAAGAAAATCTTATTTAGCTCCATCAAGGCGATCGGCTTTCCCAAACAACTCCATCTCCCAAGCCCAAATGTCAATTCAACGTCTCGCTTTAGCTTAGCACTTGTCTTGTCATCAACCTCCGTGAATCTTTCTGGTCTGAAGATATGAGCATCCTTGCCAAACAAGGTCTCTGAGCGGAGAAGTCCTGAGAAGTTCATTCCTATGTTGGTACCTGCAGGGAGGAATTTTCCGTTATAGACGTCACCACCAGTTGGAACCTCTTTGAAACTCATGTTCGTCGAGACAGAGCGGATTCGAAGACATTCGTATACAATAGCCTGTTCATGTCGTCAGTTACGCTTCGATTAATAGTTTATATTACTAACCTGTACATATGGTTGAAAAAGGGAATCTGCATTGCTGATTGGTTTCGAAGCCCGCCCTTCACGGATAGTGTTTGCGATTTCTCGCTTCAAGCGACAATAGACGTGAGGTGTCGCAAGAATGTGAAGCATGCCTGCTCTGATGACGGATGCCGTGGTATCCGATCCTGCGACGAACATGAATATTGACTCAATCTCGCATTGGTCTTTAGTCAACCCGTGTTTCTTGAATGAACTCTTCGGAAAGTATCAGTAGAGCTCTCAAACCCCACAATTGGCAGATAAAGGGGACTTACAAGCATATCCCGTTTGACTTCACCATCACTGTGGTAGAACTCCTCAACAACCCTATTGGTAAGCCCCATCATTTTCCCTATTCCTTTTTTGTCTTTAATACTCGGACCAAACAGCCTGAGAAAGAGGGGAGAGAAAGCTATATTACGAAGCCATGGAACGTCTGTTGTCAATGAAACAATAGGCAGATAATCCCTCAGCGTGTCGAAGAAACAGTGGATGTCCTCATCTCTGTTCAAGCAGCCAAATTCCTGGCCTAGAGCAAGGCGAGAGATAACGTCTAAAGTAAAGAGGCCTGCGGTCTTCGACCATAGAAGCGGACGGAACTCTCTAGGTTTAGATATATATTTATCCTGTATGAGACGGACAAGGTTCATGATCTGCTCATCAATAGCAGCTTCTGGACCCATTGTTTCTTTACCACTGTAACCATAGATAAGCTTTGCTTTCATTTTGTCATGGGCTATCGGGTCCCTCATCATGAAAAGAGACTCATGCCAGGGATTCAATCGGGAACCGCTGTATGATGCTCCTTTGGCATATAAGCTTTTTGTACCGTTAACTTTGCGCAATAGCTCCAGATCATCTGTTAAAACCTCGTAAGGGCCGACCCTGACAATAGGGCCATATTTCTTATTGAGCTCAAGATGAGTCTCATATTGCTTGCCACTCAGTGCTAATCGGGCAAGCCAAAGGTATGAAAACTTGGCTAATAAAGGCCCCGGGATGTGACGTAGACGATACCACGATATAACGGAAGAGACGATATACCAAGCAATAATGGCCAGAGCGGCAGCCCACCAACAGTTGGCTGTAAAGTGCTCAAGAAGCATTTTGATGAGTTGTCTTCGGTTTGATAAAGAACAGAAGAGATCGGAAGAACGTGAATAATTGGTAGGGTTGGAATTATATACCCAGAGACATGGTCTAAACCCCTCTCAATGGCGGCGATAATCCCAGTTTCGGCGGCAGGGAGCATGCAAGCTGACCTTGGCTTTGATGCGGCAGTGATGCATTACTGGAGTTGTTTTAGAATATTATGGGTCGTTGTGACGATTCTGGCTTTTCTGCATATGCAACACTGCGGCGCTGAGATATTTCTTTGAATACGCTATCTACCCCTCCCGAGGGGGCCATCGATAGCCGAGCCTGAAAAATCTATCAGACAGCTCAAACCGAATAGTTATCATCAAGGCAACCTCCATGTCTTATTTATATATTTTACTGGAACTGGATATTCGAATTACGTTTCCTACTCATCTCGCAGCGCAGTAGAGATTGCCTTCATGCCCCCTTCAAGCTCCTCCCGAGTGGGCCATCCATAGCCGAGCCTGAAAAAGCTATCGGACATTTCAAACCAATGACCAGGTCCAACATATGTCGCATGCTTATTGAGAAGCCTCTCGTAGAACGCCGAAAACCCACCTTTGGGTTCCTGCTTGATACGGGGAAAGCAGACAACGCCTCCAGTCGGCTTGACCCATTCCAGCAGCTCCTCGCTTTCGATCCAAGACTCAACCATCTGAAGTCGGGCCCTCATCTCATGCGTTGTGTCGCTCAAGATCTTCTCACGTCGGGACAAGACATCGATGGCAATCCACTCGTTGATGACACTGCCACTGATGCTGATCTGTTCCTTTGCAGCAAGAAAGGTTTCCTGAAGTGTCTTGTTCGTGGTGATGAGCCAACCGATGCGGACTCCAGGCATGCCAAAGGACTTTGACAGTGAGCAAACGCTCAGAACATGATCGCCCATAGAGGCGGCAACGGGGAGCTTTTCGGCAAATGCGATATCCCGATACGTCTCATCGACAAGCAACAAAACGCCCTTCTTCTTTGTAATAGCAACAAGCCTATCGAGCGCCTCTCGAGAGAGGGTGGAGCCGGTAGGGTTATGTGGGCATGTCACCGAGACCAGCCGAGTGTTGGACTTGATGGCAGCCTCAACCTCGTCGATGTTGGGCTGGAAGCCATTCTCGAAAGTAACATCGATGTATGAGATCTCGCAGCCAACTGCCTTGGGAGTTTCCAGATTGGTTGCGTAGTTGGGACGCACTATGACAAGATGGTTACGATCTGAGTCGGAGGTGCTGCCCAATTGAGAGGTCGTGATTATGAACAGCGCCCCAGCAGCCCCTGACGTGATAAGAACATCGTCAGTACTCACGCCAGCGTCGTCGGCGATAAGCTTTCGTAGCTTGGTCTCGCCACGGTGTTCATTGTACAGGAGGGTGAGATTCGGTATCTTGATGTCCAGTGACTCGAGTGTCTGATCAGTAACGGAACTTTCTGAGAGATTGTACTTGATTTTATCGTAGCCATACTCCTCGGGCGACTCAATCTCAATGGGCATGCGCTCAAACTTCATTTTTGTATCGTTTGCGAGATGATACGAGGTGGCTGATATGTGTTGGGGGTCGAGTAACAAGCTTTATGAAGTGCCTGATAATTGAAGAAGATGGCAGACTGATTGTTGTGAAAGGGCTGAGAGTCATGGACATATAAGAGCTGATGTGGACCGATCAAAGATGAGACTAATGCCAACGAGAGATGTCATGACTAAGAGCTAGCCAGCAAGTATTCCCAAGCTTTCTCAAGTTACTGGCGCTTCGACCTGCCCTCCCAGGGTGGCTGCCATTGAGCCGAGTGTATCCGCTACAAGGTATCTTCCATGGACCTGGTTTCTATAGGGCTTGTTAAAGTCCCAGTCTGCTTTTCAAGACAGCTCAAATGTAGTGAGGAGATCATGATTACCCATGCTTCTCCTCCAGATTGGGAGAGACCCATATTGGCCCTAAAGCTCACATCAAGCAGCCCCTCACTCTGATATATATCATATAGCACGTTCAAAATCGTACTGCTATCAATGGGGTTCCAAATTAACTTGATCATTGAACGGTCCTTGTTATAAATAAAAGTGTCTATGTGAGCAACACATTGCTTCCTGTTTGGAACACCAATTCCAGCCCATCATGATTACAATTTGGCGGTGCAGCCCAACGGCATTTTAAGAGCTTAATGACAGTACCACTGTTCCCAAACCCTCCACTCTCGTCCAAGACACTAGATAGAAGTGACTCAAAAACGCCCTGTAGACTGGGCTCGGCCAGGCACCCAATGATATAGAGTGGCCAGACAAGTCCCCGAAGAGGAATGGCTTGGGGCCAGTCACTTAGCACAATGATTGACTCTGAAATCGCGTCTTTGACTTCGGGGAGTAATGCCCAGGGACCGGAGACTATTGTACTTGACAAGACTAGTGATGCAAGTGCGAAAATGTGCGAGACCCATGGCGCCGGTGGAATACTGCCTCGGATACTGGCCCCTGCCTATTCAAGTTTGAGTTGTTAGTTATGTGACAGTGCGGTCTCCTGATGCTATTCGTACTTACATTTGCAGTTCGCTTTAGTTCAGTGATGCCGTCTTGTAGTCTCTTCTCTATTCTTTGACCCCTTCTCGCTAACTCTGGCACGCTTAACCTCCCTTGTTGCTTCATGTCCTTCTTCCAGGCTTGAAGATGTGCCAAATCTCCAATGGCAATCATGACCCAGTTGCAACAGCCCATCAAATCAGCCATTTCAAGACTTGACCCTTCCAGCCATTGCCGATAAGGTATTCGTGGAACTCGCCCTGTCGTGGCACATGCCAAGATGTCATGCCATAAGGCTTCAGCCACGAGAAAATTGAAATCAGCTTGCGATTGATGAGGATCACCATCACGTGAAGTATTGATTGGAGAAGGCAAAGTACTTTTGGGTGACGATGAAGTCAGGAGCAGGGCGTCCGGCGAATGCATTGCGAGGACAGCCGTCACAGCGTCGAGATGCGGAACCCAGTCATACTCAGCTCCATTGAACACCTATAAAATCAGGGGAAGAAGTTAGTCCAGCAAGACACATCTGATTCCATGATCTACCTCGAAACTTATCAGGGTCAAACTTGCTGCTATAAATTCGGCAAGCTTGGTCCGATCGCTGAGGAGCGTCTCAGTCTCAGTGTGCTGCGAGAGTTTACGTAACTCTCTCAAGGCCATTGAGTGAAACTCAAAAGCTTCCTGGCTATAGGAGCACTTCTTCTGGGATGCATCTCGATGTAAGGTGGAGAGTGCAAGCGCAGCGTGCGACAGCGAGCCGCCGTTGCTCAGAAAGATGAGAAGCCAGCCTCTGTTGCCTAAACTGGACCGGGGCTGGAAGTAAGGGAACTGCCAAACGAACACATGATCGAGATAGTACATGATTAGAGATGCCAGCCTGGGTGGTAAGACGTAAGGGGGGTTGGGATCTTGTGATGGAGAGACTGGTTGTGCAGCTTCTTCCTCTTGAATTAACCTTCGGGTGAGTGGGAGGCTATTCCCAGCATCTACAAGCGTTTTTGGCGATTCAAAACTATCATAGCCACGATCTACCGCTTCCTCTGATAGCGACGGACTTGACAGTTCAGTCGCATCTGGAGCTGGCGGTGTCTGAATCTGGGCACGTCGCTCCGGCTGCACATCTCTTCCAAGGTTCTGATTCCGCTGAACCCTTCGAAGCTTCTTAACATGCTGTTTGACAGCCCTTTTGATTCGCTCAAGCTCTTCGTGCTCGGCAGCTGATCCGTCCATCCACGTAGGCTTGGAGCCGTAGCCGTGACACGGGATGCATCGGTCTGTGCATTCCCTGCACGCAGGGATCTGAAGGTCGCATTTCCGATGTCTGAGTTTGCAAGTCCAGCATCCACTCGGGAATGATCTCATGGCTGCTGCTCGAGCTGTTTTATCTCTGATGGAGGGGGAAAAGAACGACGTAGTTATGGGAACTCGGAGTTTGTGGAGCTTTTGGAGGCCATGCTACCCCACCACTTTGTCCCCGGCAAATCACAGCGTGTTTCGGGGTTCAGACTCGGAGGCGCTTCGACTTGCCTTCCCAGAAAAGATACTTCAAGCCTAGCGTGGTTAGCTTAAGTGGATGGCTTGAAGCAGCAACCGAGTCTAGAATCCTTCAGTCAAAAGGATTGCAAGCACGGCCTCGCCCTACCGATGCAAGCCTTTGACTGCATCCAGCCAGTAGTTTCCTCAAGAGCTTACTTGGCTCGGATGCAGTGAGCCATGGTATACCGAGTTCAGAGACAAGGTGTAACCTCACAAAATAACAACAAACTCCACCTCATTGTCAATTATCCAAAGGCATTATTGACTGGCCAGCAACCAAAAGCAAGAAAAATACCAAAAGACGTCATTGAGGAGTATACAGACTCTAGAAAAGCAGGTAGATGGAGTTTATACTTTTATATAAAATGGTTAAGCGAAATATAATTACAGCAAAGTAACCCTAACTTAATCTTTCTTTACAGGTTTTACTATTCTTTTATTACTTTATTAGTCTTCTTGTAAAATGCCAAACCGGATACTGCTTTTATTCACCCTTTCGTAACCCAAAGTAGCAATAGACAGGATTTTCATTCAGAAAGCCTTAGTAAAATTATACACAAGAGCAACTCTACACCAAGACTCTATCAATGTACGCTCCAAGCTCCTTCAAGCCAGCAACCAACACATCCGTCTCACAGACATAGCCCATGCGAACATAACCCTTGAAGTCTGCATCACCTCCAAAGCAGCGAGATCCCGCCACAAACAGGAGCTTGGCCTTGTCCAATAAGTCAAGACAAAGCTTGACATCATCCACAGGATCCCCATTCTTGTCATTGAAGCGGATGAAGGCTGTTGTGCCGGCCTTGGGCTCCACCCACGAACAAACAGACTTGTAACGGTCCATGAATTCCTTGAGGATGCCTGCGTTTGTCCTGGCGAGTGTGATATTCCGCTGCACCAACGCGGGCTTGACCTCAGGCGACAGGGCGAATCTGGCAACCTGATCGTCGATCTGGGAGACGCTGATAGTGGTATAGTCGCGTGCTAGCATGATAGCAGAGATGATGGACCGATCACGGCTGGCAATCCAGCCGACGCGGATACCTGCTAGCGCATAGCCCTTGGACATCGATCCCGTTGCGATGGTTCTGTGGTACCCTAGTGTCGTCACTGGCTTGGGCACCTCAGTGTCATTGCCGCCAGAAGCACCACCGTGGAAGAGCGGTCGGTATACCTCATCAGAGAAGAGGATGATACCTTTCTCCTCTGCAACCTTGGAGATACGGTCGATCACATTGTTTGGGATCGGTGCTCCAGTTGGGTTGTTGGGATTGTTAATAATTATCATCTGGCCTTGTTAGCATCTCGTGCTCTATAAATAATGAAGGGCAACAATCCATACCTTGGTGTTTGGCTTGATCAGACCAGCTAGTTCATCGGCATCAGGGACAAAGCCATTCTCCTTCTTCAACTTCCACAGAGTCACTTCAGCCCCGAGACTACGTGGAGTGTCGTAAAGCTGCTGATAGGTCGGATAAACACAGATGACATGGTCACCAGGACCTAACAGCGTATACAGGGCCAAGAAGTTGGCGCCTATAGCACCTTGAGTCACGATGACATCCTCGGGCGCCAGCTGCAATCCTTCAGTGCTGCAATGGGCAGCAATACGTTCTCGAAGAGTCTGGGAACCTGGGATTGCGCCATATGTGAGCTTGGTGCTTGTGTCAATGGGGCTCTTGGCGGGACCACTAGACATGGCGACCAAGTCATCGATGGACACGGAGGCGGCGCATGTTTCAGCAACATTCAGGACGCCTGGAGTTGTTTCATAGGCATCCATCCATTGCTCCACGGCGAAAGGGGTGATGCAAACCATGATGAGTGCTTTCTGAGAGGATGGGACGTGTATGTCTGTCTTGGTGTGCGTCTGTTTGGTTTGGAGTTCAAGTTGAAGGCTCAAGAAGGGATGTTTATTTAAACGTCTGAACGTGACGAGATTCGAGCGTTAGACTGCCAATTGTATGGGCGCAAGTGGCCTACGCCCTTGATGTGATGGATGTCAAGATTAAGCAAGGCCCAGACATTCGGCGGCTTATCCATTGGTCAATGGTCGTATTAAGGTAGCCGGCGGCGTCTGTCGAGGCCCACTCGCCTCCTCGGCATGTGCCGGGATGATCTATAGACCCACATTGACGATGCCAAAGATAGGTAGCGCCGCTTAATTTGCTTTCTTTGGCTTAGACTAGCCCCATCCACGACTCCAGCTTTTTGATGTCGGAGTTTCTTGCCTTGCAAAAGTATCTCCACTCCAGGGTAGTGGAGCCAGTAAGGGCAAACGTGACTGGTAATAGCTCTAGTTTACAATTTCTACCACGTAAAAACTGCAACAATACATGCATTCTGTCCAAGAGACAAAAGCAGAGGCGCATAAGTATTTGATCTCCATATTTAGTGACAGCTTGTGAATCTTAAGTGAACAAAACTCCATCCTCACGAGTTTGTTTTCGGAATCAAAAGTTCACGCCTGATCTCTACATTCCATCTTTTCATTCTTAAATTCAGTATGTCCCACTTTGACGCTGTCTACACGCCCGACGCTTGTGCGCCTCTACCCCAATTCTCCCAAGCCGTCAAATATAATGGCATGGTCTACTGTAGCGGTTCCATCGGCATTGATCCTGCAACTGACCATCTTGTTCCCGGTTCCGTTACGGACCGAGCTCGCATGGCGCTCAAGAATCTCAAGGTCGTGCTCGAAGCTGCTGGTAGCAGCCTAGAACGAGTGGTGAAGGCCAATGTCTTTTTGGCTGACATGAAAGATTTCGGCGCCTTCAATACCGCGTGGGATGAGTTCTTCCCCAATGAGCCCAAGCCTGTTAGTGATATCTATATTCAAATCTGGGACTTGACTGACATTCAAGTCCACAGTGCCGGACCTGTGTCGCTGTCCATCAGCTGCCTCTGGATACTGATGTTGAGATTGAGATGACAGCTAGCTATTAGTTATACCGGTAGAAGTGTAAATAGTATTAAACACATAGCCTAAGCTTCTCCTACAATCATAAGCACCCTTCAATTAGGCCCGAATGCCAATAAGAATGTCCTAAAGCCAGCAAGAAGCAGGTCTGACTGGCCATCGACCAACATCTACCAGTTGCTATTAACCTTGTGCGACCGCGGAATAGGAATATGCGTGTTCGTTTTTATCTATTCGAATATCTTTAAAGTTGTTTAAATCGTGAATGGTTGCATTATTGACCGATCTGGATTGTTCTATGTAATCCTTAACTCATCTATCATCTCTCACTGCTGGTTCTAGAGTAGATATGGAGTCAACTCAATGGCCTATATTGGCTTCGAAAAGCCTTCCTTATTTATGATTTCCGACAGATAATCGGCTTCTTCCAGACCTCACTCGTTAGAAAGAGTTCTAGTAGATTTATATTCACTCTAACATGCGGAAATTATAATAAACATTGTATATCATTCCGAGGTCTAGTAAGTAGCACGACGTATAAGGAAGCGGGGTAAGGCAAATTAGTTAAATAATCCATCAAATGACAAGTATCTCGGTATTTATCCATAATCAGGCTTATTATATTAAAATTCAAGAAAGGCGTTATCGGCTCTTAAATAATACATTATCTTCCCCTTTAAAGAACCTTACTAGCTTTATTCCTTCCTTTCCTCTTCGAGCTCAGACTCCCTTACTGGCATAGACCCTTGCCACCACCATAAACAAATTGGGGTTTCGGTTTCGTCCTCGATCATAGTATATAACTTAAACGGCTTTTCGTTTTCCTTTATTCCAGCCATTCTATCATGAGCCTCTTTTGTGACAGAAATTCCAATCACAAATACAGCTGTGATATTTGTAGTAGCTCTAAGTCCAGCTACCTTCACCTGGTCGGCTTTCAGTCCGGTGAAAAACTGCCCAGCTGAACTTTTCAGAGTCGTCTTGTCCTCCTTGCCATGTACCATTTGAGGGCCTCTTTCACATTTCAACTCAAACACCACACCACCTGGCCCGGAGATTTCAAGATCGGCTTTGAGCGAATCCTGTTCGAACAGGCGGGCCTCTCGTTTGATTATTATGTCAGAGCCCTGATTGTATTTATAGGTGTGGTCACGAGTTAAGGCCCATGCCAGCTCGACTTGCGACCAACCTTCCCATCCGCCATTATTTGAACGGGCATATGCGATCTCATGGCTTTTAGCAAGAATCCAGTTTGAGATGGAAGTAAGAATAGGGTTAGACTCTCTCAATTGATTAGGCATCGTGGTGTTACCTTCCAGGGCTCTGGAAAGACGATCTGCACCTGAACAGGTTAGTAATGGATGGGAATGATACCTTTGTATGCTTACGGAGTACAGGTTCTCTGATATTTCAAAGCAGTGGCTACAGATCTTAGGCTTTAACTGGAAGCTGTTTCCTGCGTAGTATGTATTGATGCAATTGTGAAGTGTTATCTTTTTAGGAGAATCTGACTTGCAAAAGAGAGAAGAAGGATAATCAAACTTGATGATCTCTGCAGAAGAATTTAAAATCACCAGGCGAATGTTGTAAATTTATATTACAATTTTACTCTTGAACACAATCTAGCCCGATAAGGTGCCGAAAACATATCCACAGCGGCACGAATCTAGACCATAGTAGATAACTGCTAAATATCAGCTCAGGTGTCTCAGTTTAACATGCTCAAAGAATTCAAGCTGTCCAATAATCCCACACGAAGAAATCAGTTGACTTTCTCCAAGGTGGCCATGTCCAATAACAGGCAATAGCTACAGCTGTGGCTGTACTGGGGTATGTGGGGACGGCCCGGACGGGACAGCCCATTCCAGGTCTAGACTAAGAGTGGCTGGCTGGGGTTACTTTTGGGTTTAGTTTGTTCGATAATTTCTTAATATTCAGGCCCAATACCTACCGGCTGGCTGATGTCTCTTATGAGCTCAACTCGAGGGAATGTTGAGGCTAGCATTTTTGATATCTAATCCTTTAGATTGGCAACACAGGTAAAAGCGTTGCCCGGAGTCACTCCCGTGCCTTGGATGCCCTATTGCCTGCCAAGGCAACTATCTCCAGCGGCGAGGGAGCACGATGTCCTGGTGAAAGACACTATGATGCGGCCATGAAGTTTTTAAGTCAGAAGGACTCGAATGGCAAGACTGCAGTGGACCTATATCGCGAGAAACAACAGGCTTGGTGTCAAGCTCAGGCAGCTTGGGACAAGGCTCAGATTCAAGCTCAAGGTAAGCAATTCTGGTATCACGATGATCATATTGTCACTAACGGAGAGCAACGTAGAGGATGCCGAGAAGAAGTATCCACCAACTCCTGGTGATGACTTTCTCGCAAAGCAAAAGCAGTATATCGCTGACTGGACCCTGATGAACTACATGACGTTCAGAACCGAGACACAAGGAGCTTGGATGGACTGGGTAGTCAACGGTCAGAAGTACAACGTCGACTTCAACTTTGGAGTTGTTGATGTTGACTCTATTATGAGCCAGATTGAAGACAGCAAGGAATCCCTCCGAAATTCGACGCTGCCTGATGAGAGAGGCGCAAGTGATGTGTATGGAGTCAGCCTAACACCAGCTCGTTGAGCAACATATTGCAAGCGAAAGGCTGAGGGCTGGTATAGTCGCAACGGAACATACACACTTGGCGAGCTAGATTCCGAGATTGCACGACTAAACACGTTAGCAACCTCATACACCGCCGCCCAGGAACTCATCAAAGATCACAAGTATCCTGTAGATACCTCGACTACGCCGCCTGCTATAAAAGCGCCTACAGTGGCCAAAGTACCTGAAGCGGATGCAGCTCTGGCAACCAGTTTGTCTACACTCTATACTGCCGAAGGTAGCTCAGGTGGCGTTCAGCCACCGCCTGAACCGACAGCTCAAACTGTAACAGACACCTCCAGCACTGGACTCACGTAGGCCCAGAAGACATTAGGCGACGCTAGGGCAGCTCTCTTCAAGTCCCAACAGGACCGTGACGAATCTGCCGCTGACTGGAACAGCTATGATATGGCGTCTTGTGATGTAAGCGTGTCCTTCTCAGCCCTCGTTGTCGATATCGACCGGCCTTGGCTGCAGGCTGAGATCTTCAGCGACGCGGACCTCGACATAGCTGAGGATGTGCTCCTTAGTCCTGGCGCCTCTCGTCTCAAAGTGGCCATCGCAAAGCAGGAAGCCCAGTTGAACCCCGAGTTTCCCGCATACCCGACGTCATTCATCCTCGCTGCAGACACAAGCATTGACTTTTCAGGTTCAACCAGGCACATCCAGGAATACTTCAATTCCAAGACGACCTCGAGCGATAAATCCGTTGGCTGGGGGCCTTTCAGCACTGATGTCAGCTCTCATCATTCAAGCTCTCACAGGCATGTACAATGCCACACTACTGCAACTGGCTGCAAACTCTCATTTGGTGCACCCCAGATTATTGCCTGGGTCAGCGAGATCCTTCCTGAGCTGCCTTGGGCCAAGAATCTAAATCCCCTCTGGCAAGGAGCAGATGCTGGGGTTTCGGGGTAAGCTAGGGTTATTGTTCTTATGCTTTGAGAAATTGGATCTAGCGGTGTCTAATTATTATTTAAATTAGCTAATTAATAAATTAATTCTACTTAATATCTAAGTTTAATTTAATTTAGGTTTTATTTTTACTTTAATAATCTTTCTTACTCTCTTTTATATTACTTAAGATACTTATAACATTTTATTATAATATTATCTTGATAATCTAATAGAGTAAGACTATACTCTATGCCTATAAGTAATAGTAGAAATAGCTTTTAGAACTAGTTGTTAAGTAGTATTTATAAATATTGAGATTGAGATAACAGCTAGCTATTGATAAAGAATAGTCTACGTAGTGCTGAAGACATAGCTAAACCTCTCTACCATTTATAAAGCTCTACTAGTGTAGTTCTAATGGGAATGTCCCGAAGTACAGCAGCTCCCACCCATTGCCTCTCTCGCGAGCTTAGCGCGACTTAATGGTCGCGCGCCAGGGAGTAGGTCTCGTCCCATCAAGTCTGGCAGTGGCTTTCGTGCATTCAGCTTGTGCAGAGAACGAGTTGCAATCTTGGCAGAGTAGATGCTGTTCAGCCAATGAGCCAGGCGGTAACCACCCTTGGCAATCTGTAGTTCGATGGTTGGGATCACAGAGTTGTAATATGTCGGGTAGAGATCGCCCTTCTGCAAGGCTGCAGCACCATTGGGCATAACAACAGTGCAGACATAAGCATTAGCATCCGAGGCCCAAGCCGTGGCCGATGTGATAGGATCAGTCACGTCGCTATCTGCAACCCAAGAAGCAGCTTGAGTCTTGTACGAGCCGGAAGTGATATCACTGATAAGTGTGTTTGCCCACGATTGCGCGTCGGTCAAGGCGTGGCCACCAATCAACTTTTCGGGCATATAAGTGTCCCAGTCTGAATGCAAATTGTCGCTGGAGAACCCATTGAAAGTAACCTTGATATCATTTCCGCCGACCTCGTAGGCCTCATCGTGCAGTGGCTGGGTGATGTCACCTAGAAAGTGGACGAGGAACTTGAGAGCCTCAGCTTTGTTCGCATTTGATAGACGACCATCCCCAACACGTTGCGTGTAGTTGGCAACTGCAGAGATGGAGCATCCAGAGCTGCCGCAGTCACGGTCATAGTCAACGTTGCAGTTTGTTGGCGGGCTGTCCTCTGCATCGATAAAGTGCAGAGGGGCCGACCATTTTCCAGCTGCAGTTGTGCGATAGGTATCAGCCCACGAGGCGACGTTGGCAAGGTACGAGTCTGAAGTGTCTCCTAGAAGACCCTGTGCCCTATTCTGAAATCAGTACAGACCAAGTAGACAGATAGTAGTGAGTGCTTACCATGAAGCAACGTCGTCGTCGAGAAAGTGTTGAGCAATGTAGGCAACAGTGGCATGGCCCAAAACGCCCCAGCCATGAACAGCACGTATCGCGCCAGTGGCTACAAGGAGAGATTTCAGCATCATGGCTAAGTCAGATAATATTTGAACGGATGATGTTGGTGTATGCGTGAAAGACCTAACCACGAGAAATAGACACAGGAATTATATACATGTCGCTCAATTCAACAGTCGGCATTCTTGCTTCGTTGAGCGACCGACATATGGGTTCAATTGCCTCAATCCGGTCTTACAGCCGAGTCAGTTCTAGACGGCATACAAAGGTCCTTTGACAACTGCTGCATATCGTTACCGCTCGGCACATAGTTGCCGGTACGTTGTGCAGATATCTCATTGATAGGTAAGTGACTAGTCATTCTGATACATCTAGTTAGGTAGGTCGGTACTTGATTGGAAGATCACACGTTGAGCGATATTCGGTACCTGCCTAAAGAAGCATAATTCACCTTTAATTTACAGTATATTCAGTGCAATCAGATAAGTCCCTATCTTATCTCCTGGTAGCTATCTGTACGGAGTACTCCGTAGACACGGCAACTAATGCCCGGCTAACCGGCACAAATATGGCAGGGATATCCTCGAGGAGTTGCAGATCTCTATCTATTGTCGCATAGGCTAACAGATTGCAATTGGATATCATGCTCGGTGGCCGAGGCCATAGTGCCCAATCACATGGCAGAAATACACAAGCTATTCTGCCCACAAAACAGTGCATTGAATTTCCACGTTCAACCTTTCATTTGGCAACGCCGCAACCTGTATACAGGTTCTCGCAGGCGCCTTGGTCTTGTCCGGCCATACCTTATTCCACTCCTTGTTCATCCCAGCATAATCTTTCATGTCGGTCAAGAAAACAGTGGCGTTGACCACATTCTGCAGTCCACACGCGCCGTTTGTTGCCCCGTCAATAATGGTTCCGATGTTCTGCAACACCGCTTCCGTTTGCAGTGAAATATCGAGGTGGTGAGTTCCGTCGGCGTCTGTAGTGCAACCGACGACTGTATTATCGCCACGACGCGATGAAGTACCAGAAACGAAAATGGTTCTGGCTGATTGCTGTATTATTCGAGCGTGGGGATAGTTGGCGAGGGACTGAGCTCTTTCAGCCGGCAGAAAGTAAGGTTCACCGTTGCGGGACGCCATTTTTAATGCTTTTATTGGCCAACACAAAGAATTCAAATTTGATGGCCGGTCAATTCGTAGCACGCAGTGAGAGAATGTAGAGGGTTGGGATCAGTTTGAGCTTATTATGAAAGTGAAAAAACATAATATTGCGCCGCCGCAGTCGATACTCCTGGCGGGTTCAGTTCCATTTAGCGCGGTGCTGGCGGCTACCCGCTTGCCGACATTACGTTCAGAGCCGGGATTCGGGCCGCGACCTCTCAGCGACCGTTGGGGTTTCGAATCGGTGCCGTTCCCGTTAACTTCAGCCTTTTTATCCAGGCATATGATATCTAAAATAATGACTGCCGATTTGAATCTAAATATATTGCGACTTCTATGTTACGATAACTAATTAGCCGATTAAGCATAGGATCAACCCCGGCGTAATGGCAAGCTCTACCATTCAAACTGTCTGGCAATTTCAGACCCTAGAGTCTGCTGAGCGCTTCACCTCTTCGGATAATGTGTCAGCGCAACTTTGCCTACAGAACTATGTCTCTAATGAATTCGATACGTCATTGCCAGCAGATTTTGTTGATTCCATAAATCCCAAGACAGGCAAATCTTTTGCTAGGGTGCCCATCAGTTCCGCCGCCCAGGTTGACGACGCGCTGCAGGCTGCTACAGATGCTTTCAAAACATGGTCCAAGACGACAGCAGCCTTCAGGTCCAGCCTGCTCCAGCGTGTGGCGTTCTTGATAGAAGAAAATAAAGAGCTGCTTGCAGTTTGGGAAAGCATAGATCAGGGCAAAACTGTGGCCAGAGCGAGAGTCGAAGTAGATCGGGCTGCGACAAACTTCAGGTGAATACCCACGGAACTCTATACAAAGAAATCTCTTTAACTTGGCCATCCTTTATTTAGATATTTCGCGACTTTTATTCTGCACCAAGAGAACGCCGTAAGGATGATTGATGGAGTGGCGCTCACCTACGAGCATCGCTCACCTACTGGCGTGTTTGCGCTCATCTCTCCGTGGAATATGCCTCTGTACTTGCTGACCTGGAAGATTGCGCCGTGTCTTGCCTTTGGATGCACAGCAGTCGCGAAGCCTTCAGAGTTCACCTCCATGTCTGCATTCTTGCTCTGCGAGATATTTCGGCTGGCAGAGATTCCACCTGGTGTTATCAACATAGTCTTCGGTGACGGTGCTACTACAGGCTCTCGACTTGTACAGAGCCCGCTCGTCAAGGGCGTCTCTTTCACGGGAAGTACAGCAACAGGGATCAAGATCCGCAGAGATACGGCGGACCAAATCTACAAGCACATCTCCCTCGAGTTGGGTGGCAAGAACCCAACCTTGGTCTTCGACGATGTGGATCTCGATAAGGCCGTGCAAACAGCTGCTACAGCAGCATTCGAAAATCAAGGAGAGGTAAGACCTGCCAACGTATATCTGACTGGGAGTCTCATCATTAATCTCATTAGATCTGCTTATGCGGTTCTCGCATCTACGTCCAATCCCGTATCTACGATGCATTTGTTGCTTCACTCAAAGCATACGTCGAGGAAAATTACAGATGTGGCGATCGTACTGGCGCTGTAGCCTCGTTACAACATTATCGCAAGATAGTATCGTATCTTGCACTGGCGAAAGAGGAGAATGCCACTTTCATCACAGGCTCTGTGCCGCCACTCGAGCCCAGCAACGGCTACTGGATAGAGCCAGTAGTCTTGACCGACGTCAGTACATCCTCGCGAATCATGCAAGAAGAAATATTCGGCCCCGTCGTCACAATCGCCAGGTTCGAAACCGAAGAAGAGTGTGTCCAGCTGGCGAATGATAGCGCGTATGGGCTTGCTGCCATTCTTTTGACCAAGGACGGTGCACGGATGAGACGCGTGGGTGAGCAACTTGACGCGGGGCTTGTTTGGGTCAATTGTTGGTTGGTCAGGGAGCTCAGTACACCTTTTGGTGGGATGAAAAACTCTGGCACGGGGCGAGAAGGAGGAAACTACAGTCGAGATGTCTTTACTGTCGTGAGGACTCTTCATCTACCAATGTAGCACCCTTCCCAATGAAGGGTCCATTTAGAGAGCGCAAAGGTAATAGGCTATAGCCGGTGATAGGAGCAGTCAATAAAAGTAGACAAAACTTCGTGTCAGTTTCAGCATTGAAGATGGATCGCTCACCATATTTAAAGTCGTTGACAACGACAGAACAATACCAGATTACTAGTGCCCTGTATGTCAATGCAAGATATTCTTAGAAGAAAGTAAGAATATATTGCTTAGAATCTTGTATCCGAGGTATACCGAAAATCCTTTGACCATTGATGCAGAGAAGTAGCTCCAGAGAATATCCACCAATAGGGCCGAGACAGGACTGTACAATCCTGTTCCTCCAGTTGGTGTTACACTGTCTCTGTGACGTTCGGATTTGCACAGGATAAGATTTTCTTTTTAGGTACAAGTTAGGTTAGCTACACAATGTAAACAGAATGTAGCGACATACCAGGTTTCTACTAACCAGTTTGATGTAGATGGGGTCTGGTGAAGATGAACACTTCGGCAGGTCGGCGCATGAAGCCTCCGTTTTGTGCGCCAGTGGATATCAACGCGAATCCTCTGAACAGAAAATCGAACCATTCCTTACCTAAGATCCCCTAATTGTTAGAAATTGGGCGGCCCATGAGCCGCCATGCAAATTACGCGGGCCGACCAGTGCGCTAAAGTGATGTACTATCCCGTTTACTGAAGGAGATCAGTGACCACGGCGGAGCTTTTGGTTGCAAAATGGCGGCCCGGATTCCGTATGCACGCCTGGCCCAAACAACTTGACAATGCAGATATTATATAATACTTAATTTAAGTCTCTGATTACCCCCAAGAAAACAATGGAAGCACTAAATAAAGGCCAAGATAGCTCGAATACAAAGTACCTTGATTCCAAGGAAAACCAATTAACACCACATTTAACATGGCCCGCCATCCATTGAACTTTCCTCGCTGGCTTGCTGCAAATAGTGACCGCTTGCAGCCGCCTGTCAGCAACTTCTGTCTCTACGACGGTAAAAATTTCATCCTCCAGGTCGTAGGAGGTCCAAATACGCGAAACGACTTCCATGGTGAGAACTCGGCCATGATCTGATGAAAACAAGAGCTATTTATTTGCTGACTTCGGTTCAAGTTAATTCCACTGAAGAGTGGTTCTACCAGATCAAGGGAAGCATGCTGCTCCGGCTCATCGAGGACAACCAGATTCGGCATGTGACTATCAGAGAAGGCGAAATGTTCTTGGTAGATGGTGAGTCTGCGAGAATCCCGCTTAGTTCATTTGTTATGAGATCCTGAATGACTAACCGTATTGCTTCACCCAGCCAATACCCCTCACTCTCCAGTACGCACTGCAGACACTGTTGGCCTCGTTATGGAAATGGTTAGGCCAAGTGACAGCTTGGACTGTTTGCGTTGGTATTGTACCAAGGGGAATCACTCAGAGCCTACTTTGATCCACGAAGAGTCTTTCTATGTTTCAGATCTTGGCAAGCAGCTCATAGATCCGATTGAGCGATGGCGACGTGATGAAAAGAGGAGAACATGCCCAAAATGCGGCAAAGTGGAGGATCCCCAGTATTACAATTAGCACAATATTAGGTAGATGTGATTAAATTATTTGTTATTACCTTGAAAACTAAACCGAGATATCTTTAATATAAAAGAACTGTTTTATAAATATGAAATTATAATTCGGTCCATGGCCAGTAATGCACAGCTGTAAATATAGAGACTGGGAATACTAGTCTATGCCATCTCATGTATCTTAACAGCCCTATAGTTTACAGAACTAAACTTATTATATTTTAAACCTCAGGAAGTAACTAAGTTCTATTATTATATAGGTTAATTTGAAATACGAAAGAGAATGGCATTTTAATTCTATTAAAGACTTTCTATAGTATACAATATGCATGTCTGTGTGCCTTCGGTCGTCGGCCCGCTTAGCTGTGCTGATCGGATAAGGACAAACTCTATTAGTTCGGCATTGATGAACCTTCCTACCAGACCTCTACAACCACCTGAAGACAGCTATGGACCTTCCGCTGGTGCCCATCTACTGATGGAGTCTCACGAGGGTGATTGGTCATACCCAAGTTCATGTGGCAGTAGGCCACAACGTGTCCAGTGCGGACCGGCCGGGACGTAGCTGATGGTTCAATCTCCACCCATGCATCCGCGGGCCGCCCGTCGGATGCTGAGCTATCAGGGCTCCACGGTACCTAGCCACGCAAGCAGAAGTTAAAGCCTGCCGAAATCATATAATATACCACAAATACCTATTTATATCCAAATCGAAAGAGATAGCGGGGTGGAGCACCTGACTTGCTTACAAGCACATTTCCACATCTTTCTACAATGGCAATTGACTCGTTGACAATGACAAAGCAGTGCAACGGGTGCCTCAAGGGCATCGATGCTGGGGACGGGCACTCGGCTGGGATGACTAACAATAGCTTCTATCGTATCGATCTACATACACATGTCATGCCACGGACTTTGCCACAGCTGTCTGACTCTGAACAAAATGGAACACGATCGGACTCATGGATTGAACTAAAGCCGTCGATCGTGGATGGAGAGTCCGTTGATATCTATGTCGATTCCAAACATTTCCGAACCGTCCAAGACAATTGTTTTGACCCGGAAGTACGCTTAAGGGATATGGACCGGTCTGGAGTCCATGTCCAGGTATTGAGTACAGTTCCGGTCCTGTTCTTCTACGACAAGCCAGGCAAAATGGTCGCCCAGTTGGCCCGAGCACTCAATGATCACCTGTCACAGGTGTGCACAGAATACCCGACCAGATTTGTTGGTCTTGCGACGGTTCCACTGCAAGATGTGCAAGGATCTGTTGAAGAGCTGAAGAGAGCAAAATATACCCTCGGACTAAAGGGCGTCGAAATTGGAACTACGATCGGTGAAATGAATCTTGACGATTCTAGATTGGACCCATTTTGGGCTGCCTGCCAAGAGTTAGATATGCCAGTTTTTGTCCATCCACTGGGATACTCATTGCTCAGAGAGAATGAACACCGATGGGGTCAATATTGGTCTTCATGGCTGATTGGAATGTATGTAATCGAGGGGGTGTATTTAATCAAGAGGATGACTGATTGATTACTAGGCCCTGTGAGACAGCCCTATCGATGCTGGCCTTGACATCCTCCGGACTCCTACTACGATACCCACGGTTGCGTTTTTGCTTTGCTCACGCGGGAGGGGCATTCCCAACTCTGATGGGAAGAATTGAACACGGATACAATTGCAGGCCAGACTTGGTCGCTTCAAGAGCGGGTGGCCGAAGTCCTTCAGATCACCTTAGCTCAGGCGACAATCTCTGGATAGACAGCCTGGTCCATGACCCAGATCTCCTTGCGTACCTCTGCAAGAAGATAAGAGTGGATCGCATTCTCATGGGAAGCGATTATCCTTTCCCCCTTGGCGAAGTTCCTGAAGCAGGCAAGATGTTGACATCCAACGCATCACTCTCCGAGTTTCTGTCAATGGAACAACGTGCAATGATGCTAGCTGGAAATGCCATCGACTTTCTGAAGTTGGATAAAAGATTCCAGAATGCATATAAAGATAGCTTGAGAGACGTATTAAAGAGAAGCTGTGGCAATATAGCTAACTAACTTATATAGAACGTTCAAATGCTATAATAGATCAACTAGTTGTTATTATCTCTGCATCACCTTAGGACATATCTTTGTGGTTATTAAAGTCGTCTTAGCAAGTACTTAATAGATGTAAACTTTCTACAGTCTGTGAGGTCCAGCAAAGACACCAATCGACAGCTAACTGGCAGTGCAAGAGGTTCCTATCCAGGAGTATTAGCCTGCTTACAATTTGATAAAGATTTATATTTAGCCCTGCCCAGGATAGCATGCTCTTGCCCTGACCCTGATCTGGCTGTAATCGCCTATATTTTTGATGAATATATAGCGATTTAAGTCATAGAAGATAATATAGACCATCTCTCTTTAAGTTTGTAGATTTGTGTCTTTGAAATTGCGTAGAGCCTGTATACATGGCAAATGATATTTCTACACGATTGGCACACTGAGAAATAAAGACCTGATATTTTATTAAGTAGTTTAATTGGCCAAATGAGCACGGTGGCTTAGATCTATAGGTGCTAGTTAATTTCGTGAACTTAATATGATATTTATATGATAATTGTTGGAACGAATATGGTCTCCAGGGTATATGCACCAAATCCATGTCGCGCTAATAACGGCAGAGTTTTCCCAGATCCTTGCCAATCAAATTGGTATCTTAACGGGAACAATCGGAAAATCCATAGTCCGGACTGACCCGTAAGTGCTTAGCTCAGGTTGTTAGCAAGATTCCCTTGTCTCAAGAGATTGGCGTTGCCTACATTCGACCTCCTTTGGTTATTATCATAGATAGGATAACATCTGTTATCTTCAAACTGCTCCCTCTGCATCATCCTGGCAAGCCGCGTCCAGGCTTCCAACTATGCCTTTATGGCAGCTACCGATAACGATGAATGGTGCCCAGTACATTGGATGACTATAGTTATCCGCATGAGCAGCCTCTCCTAGTTCAAGCTCAGGTTCGATGTCACGAACCCGCCGGAGGAACCTTTGCACTTCGTGTTGAGTGGCGTGTTGAGTTGCGAGCTGCGCCGCTTGAAGTGCTCTAGCAGGCAACCATTCCTTCTTCAAATGCTCGTAGAATTTTATCATGAAGAAGCTTGTTACAGCATCATCGACGCTCCAAAGACTCACCAACACATTCTTAACTCCAGCAGCCAATAGGGCGCGGGCGAAGCCGATCATATCATCGCCGCTTGTGAGTTCACCACGGCCTGTTTTGCAAGCACTAAGGACGACCAGGTCAGCGCGCAAGTGTCGCCACATCAAGTCCTCGACAGTAATATTTTCGCCCTCCGCAAGGTGAATTGCTGACAGCATAGGCACTTCGGTAGAGAGACTCCCGTGGGTCGCGAAATGGAGCACTCTATAATTGCCAAGAAGCGAAGAGACTGCCTTTTTCGTCGCATTTGGACCAGTCAAGGCCCTGGTGCCCTCGACCAGCTGTCCAATGGCCTCAACCTCGACGCGGGCGCTGGGCAGCGAGGGCAGAGGGCGCTCCTCCAAGGTCAACGAGTTTCTGCTGCTCATATTCGAAGGGTTGCCGACTGCTAAGATGGAGAAGTCTGTTTCCGGAGCCGGATCGGATTGAAAATACCCGAAGACACTGGCACTGGGGAGGTACGATATAGTTTTGTTGCTCATCAATAGCTGGCCTTGGTAGGGTAGGGTGTGGAAAGGTAGTTGATGCAGGCAGCGGTATGGAACGATGATGAGCCTGGACTCGTCCAAGGACTTGAAGGGAAGCAGTTTAGTGGCCAGCCAGGACTCATGATCCCGTGTTCCCGACGACCCAGTCGCACAAGCTTTGTGATACTGCAGAATATGACTCTCCAAACAAGACTCTGGGACGTCAACCGCAAAGACTTCTCTCATTCCAGATGCTGTGATTTTCCACACCACCATATTCTCCCTACTGTAGCAGTATTGCAATAGCGCGGTATCCGCAGGCAATAGTTTGCAGAGTGACGGAAGGCTCAGAACTGTTCCAATAGCGGATAAGGAAACAGATCCACCAGCTGACAACTTCCCCTCCAATTCCCGGAGCTGTTTCTCTTTCTCCTGGATCTTTGTTTTGAGTCTAGATTCTGTGCTGCGATCCAGATGCTGAGCTTGGTAGCATGTAGCCAGCAAACCTCGAAGCGTAGCGAGCTGGGCCCCCTCCACCTTATACTGCTGCCACTGGGATCCAACGCTTCCATCTGCATTGTGATTGGGAATAGAACCCTCAATCAAGTCTAGTAGGCTGCGCGCTTTGCCACGCTCGATTGCAGCAAAAGCACGCTGGACTTGGGGAGAAAGAAATTCATCCCCTGATTGTCTTGCAGATAGATGCCATCGTACGGCGGCATGCGCGGCACCAGAGTAGATGTCCTGGACCACTGAATCTCCTGAGAGCGCTCTCTTGTGGTCATCCACTGAGAGTGCATGCTTTCTCTTATCAAACGCTTCCCTGGCTCGCTCATAATAATCGCTCGCTAGCTCGTACTCTCCGAGGCCTTCGCTGAGTTGAGCAATTATGCTAAGGTTCTCCCAGACAGGATATTCATATAGGCTCCACCATTCAGGCCCCCATTGCAACTCTAGTTCCTTCACCATTAACATAGCATCGTCGTAGAGCCTAACACGCACAAAGAGGAATAGTACACGAGTTTTTTCCTGCCATTTCTTTCGTCGAAGAACTTCTCTCGTCTTCTTATCAATGCTGATACTCATATGCTCTTCCCCTGCGACGAGTTGGTCTTTATATGCCCGCGCGTGCGCTGCAGCCGCTTCAAAATCTCCCTTGCTGACACTGAGTGAAGCAAGAAGTACTTCGCTTTCCCTGGTGGGGTGGGCTGTTAAGGCTGATTCGGTTTCCCTCCACAGTTGCTCGGCCTTGCTCGAGTCTCCGTTTCTGACAGCTTGACGACTGCGGTAGAGGGGGACCAAAGTTGCCGCTAAGGCGATGAAGTGGTCAATTAGGCTGTATGCTACCTGGGTCTGGATCTCGACAGGGTCGATATTCAGATTGCTCAGTCTTGCGGAAAGCTTTCCCATATCGGCCATTGTGCCTTCATTCATGGCAGACTGATTGGTTTGGGTGAGTTCAATCTGGCGAGACAGAAGTTGTTCAACCGACACAGTCGGGCCTCGCCGCCGCCACTCACGTAACATGGCCGCAACGTGAGAAAGTAGGTTCGCGTCGGCTCGCTTGTTCGCATGCTGGAATACTTTCCCCAGAACATGTACGGCGAGGTTGAGTGCCATCTGCGAAATCGCCGAAGTCCGCGGCCTCTCTCTTGCGATCTCGTGACACAAAGTTAATGCCTTGTCCGCGGTGATATAGATCATGCTCTGGTCTCCTAGTAACTCGTGGACCGACAGCTGATCGCAAATGCTATAGGCGTGCGATAATGTCAACCCAAGGCCCTGGAATACTGCGGCCGTAAGCTTATGCGCTGCTAGTGCTTTCTCATAGTCGCCGAGAAACACAAGCCACCTCCGTGCATACTTTGCAAAAAACAAACCCAGTCCGAAGGCCAGGCTATAGCTTCCTTTCTCCTTGCCGTATTGGCCGATCGCTTTCGCAGCGTCGCTATCCTCAGGGAACTGGCCTAGACCCAACCGACACAAACAAGAGTGGGCAGCCGCAACCTGCACTCCTGCAATATCACCAGCTTGGCCATACAGGAGCTTTGCATGGCTGACATGCGCCAATGCTACCTCATATCCGGTAGGCGTAGCGGATGAGGAGCTGAAGACACCGTGAGTGGCAAGGTAGCCAAGTCGAAGTTGAACAGCTGCCTGACCACGGGTGTGTTTTGCAGATCTGTAGAGGACATCAGCTTCCTGATAGTAAGAAGTAGCCGCTGCAAGATCTCCTGGCAGTGGCATGGCGAAGTGAGTGCTCTCATCATCTCGCGGCTGCGCGTTACTCTCGGCCCCTTGCTCCAGCAACATATTCCAGGTCTCTGGAGCCCCGAAGGTAACGGCACTCGCATCACCCAGCCTTAGCTGGTGGTGTGCGCGTAGCATAAAATCCGTCGGTTTCAGGGGGACGACACTGTTCATCACGCTGTGGAAGCGATCGCGGTCCCCAACGACTCGATAAATGCACGCCAGTTCGACTTCGAATGGGAGCATCTCAGCCTCGCTAACCCCGCTAAGCCTGCAGTTCTGGATGGCTTGGGCGACACCCTCAGTTCCAATTCCCCGTGCTAGGTCGATCTCGGCACTAGTTGGAATGCGGGGCCTGGTTGTTACAATCCATCTTTGTAATTCCAATAGAGCTCTGAGCCTGCGCACACGATCATCCTTGTAATCAATAGCGCTGTGCAGAGAAGATTGAAGGTGTTTAATCTCTGTAATAAAGTCGAAGATGTCGTCTAGCTCCACACTCGAGATATTGCTACCGGCAGCTGACCATTTGAACTGCATATGCAGGCATTGGATCAGGTATGCGATCGCTGTGATATGAACGTCTGGGTATCGGCTTTCTGACAGTTTAACTGCCTGCTTTAAGCTCGTGCAAGCGTAGCCCGGTTCACCTTGAAGCATGGCAATCATACCTAACTTCAGCAGCGAACGGCAATAGGTTTTGGCTTGGATTTGGAACGGGGCATCGATCGTGGCACTTTCAGAACTTGATCGTTTCTCCAGGAATCCAGATGGAAACTGGCCCAGTAGTGGTAAGCTGCCCAGAACACCTTCGTAGACAGCCATGTGAGAGAGCGAAGCCATGCTTGAGTTGCTTGTGTCGACTAATTGTTCGACGATGTCAAGGTGGTCACTTTCAGAAGAGGCTTGAATGGCAGTACGACCTCCAAATTTGGCAGCAGAAGCATTGGCGTCAGCACCTGCGGCTATCAATCGTTCGATTGCGTCGTGGTGGCCACCCCCGGGAACGCGTGTGACAGCCCACCATAGCATCGTCCGGCCGGACGGATCTTTTGACTCAACATCGACGCCTGCGTCGAGTAATAGCTTGATGATGGCCTCGCGCTCGTTTGCGGCAGCCCATAATGACGCTGTCCATCCGTAATCGTCCTTAACCTCCAGATCGACCTTGCCCGTGCCAAGTAGGAGCTTGACGATCGCCTCGTAGCCCTTTGCGGCTGCACGCCACAGTGGTGTCCATCCGTACTGGTCTTTAACATTCGGGTTGACCCTACCGGAGGCAAGTAGCAACTTCACGATGGCCTCGTGGCCCTCCTCTGCCGCCCATGACAGGGGTGTCCGTTCGTTTTTGTCCTTAGTGTCTGGATCTAGCCTATCGGAGGCAAGTAGCAGCTTCACGATGGCCTCGTGGCCATTCTTTACCGCCCATGATAGTAGTGCCCGTCCATCGTCCATATATGACAAGGAAAGGTATGCCAAGGACTTGAGATGCCCTGCGATGTGATACGACAGCTGCTCCTGGGTACAAACTTCCTGCCCATCTGGGACGCAACCACAGAGAGGGCAGATGAAGGGTTCCCTCTGTACTATTCTTCTGTTACGTCTCGCTCGACCCTCAAGCCTGGATTTCGTGAGCTGCTTTCCGTGATCAGCCTTTAAATGGTCTAAAAATAAATCTTTTTCGTCGAACACCAGATGACTGGGGTGATTAATGTCGCAATACCACTGTTCAGTATGAATCTTCTCGGTCCAAGTCAAAGAATGTCGTGTTTGCATATGGTTCAACCAGTCTTCCTTTCGGATGAAGTAGGCAGGTGGTTCTCTACATTCCTCTGAAATGCACACGTAAGGATGCAGGTCCTGATCTACATGGGCCCTGTAAAGGTTTCTTAGCTTCATCTCTCAACGTATTCATAAGCAATAGTAAAATTGATAACATACTCCCAGGCCTCTTGTGTCAAGCCTGACTGTTCCAGCAAATTGCCGCATAATGTGCAAGTTAGGTATCTGTGGTCGTTCGTCTTTTCTGGCTTCAGGGGATAGAAGAAGCTGTCCTCTCGGTCATCACACATTGCCCAATCTTTATTCACACTAGACTCCAACGGCTTATTGTCTTTTGCAATTCGACTAAGCATCGAATGGTCGAAGCCTGACTGGACTGTGCCAGGAACCAAGGCTAGTGGTACTTGATCGACAGGTTGGCAATTCATGCAATGATCCGATCCTTGATCGGTGTGCTTTAACGCCGGGCCTTTTTCTGCCACATGTTGTACACGATTCTGATCATGTCCCTCGAAGGCTAGCTTCTGGCTATGCACCTTCAAGTAGAGCAAGGATTGCCCTCGTATATAGATCGAGGCTCCAAGTTGGTTACAAAGACTACTTCTTACATTGGGATACGTTGTCTTGATCAGCGAGTAGTACAGCAGCGCTGGATGTTGGTTGTTGGTCCCATGCCGCTTGATATGGTTCCGCCGCGCTTCTTGTCTTATTGCCTCTGCCAGGATAAAGAGTCTTTGTATAGCAGCCTCGACGGCCTTGAAACCAAGAATATCCCCGGAAGCATCGTTATCTAAGATTTCGAATATACTTTGCGTCTCGCCGATGCTTCTGCGTTGGGCATCTAATTCTGCAACAACGTAAATAACCGATCAGTCGCAAGAGGGTTAAAGCGGGGAAAGCAGTCACCCCATTGTAGGTTTCTCTGAACCATTTCAAGTAATTCAAGCAGCATACTTTTGGTTTCCTTGTCGCCATCCAGCCGGGCGTCTACAGAAGCCCTCGGAACTGCATACACACCGAGGTATGTTGCCCAAAGATGGAATCGTCCGCGCAACTCCTCAGCTGGCAGGAACAGCGGGCTATCAGAGCCCATTGACTCAAAGATACGTTCGAACAATTCGGAGCATAGCCGGGCCGCATGGTGGATGGTCGGACTCTCGTCTGGCCGCATGGCGTCTAGGGAGTTGGTGACAAAATTGGGTCTGGGATGGCTCTAATAAAACAACTCACATTCAGGATGCATTCGAGCGGAACCAAGATGAAGAGACGAATTATCTCAATATGTGATTTAATTATTATATCTCACAGACGGAATTTGCCCTGTTACCCCGCGTTCCTCAGTATTGTGGCGCTCATATGACGCGTGCATAAGGTTTTGGCTGTCTCTATTTCCCCGCCCTCTTTCGGACTTGCGTATTTCCACCTTAATCTTCATCTATATTCTCAATCGACATGGACAGTTCTATCCATGAGAGTGTGAGGTATCTGCAGCTGATCTATGCTGTCCTACCCGTCTTCATAGAGGCGCTGCCACCTGTGCCGGACGTGGCACAAACGACTAATTCCAAGCAAGAGATACTCAAAAACTTGGTGACTATCTTGAGATTCGAGATTCAGGAAATGCAAAAAGTCTTGAGTGTGACGCATACAGAGCACAACTTTACTAGTAGTAGCACTCTCAAAGCTTCGGAGGAGCTGGAGGACGTCTTATTCTGCTTAGATGCACTTGTCGATATAAAACCAGAAAACCTCTCCGTATGTATCTTCTAAGTCCCCCTCTGACAATGTTGCGACCAGGCATTCGGTATATCTTATGACATTGACAAATACTCAGGATCCCGAGACTAGGTACCCTAGGCTAGATACTCTGAGGGGCTGGATTGCCGGCTACAGCTCAAACATAATGTCAGATCTTCCAAGCCTCCGTATTAATGAGGTCTGTAGGATGATATCCTATGGAAATGAAGCGGCTGGTTATCGCCAGACCATTCGTGCGGCGCAGAATTTCAACTGCAAAATGAGAGGAATATGCCGTTCTGTCATGGCCGAGAGGGAATTTTCAATGCAGCAGATCTTCCCATCACAATATCGGCGGGAGGGTGACTTCTACGACCAAGACATAGTCAAAGCTGAGATTCACAAAGCCCAAGTCGTGTGCGATACGGCCAAGGGCCTCTTCAACCAATTGACAAAGAATAGGGTCTGTCAACCGCCTCATTCTGCTTTCATTCACCTCACTGGGTTTGGCCAGCCGGAAATCGATATGATTATGTCTATTTGCGAGGCCAAGGGCGCATCCGAAAAATGGCACCAGGTCTATTTCACCGGCAAGGTTCCATCAGATGTGAGAGTGCTACCCCCATCTGATAGCATCTGTTCAAGGTTGAGGCACGCACGAAAATTCAAGCAGATCCTCCGCATATACCTGCGGACCGACGGGAGTTGGAAGTGTGCAGACTCCTCTGCTGCGGATCGCATACAGCGGTTCGTCGAACATCCGGATCTAACATTAGAAGGACTGCTGAATGCACGACAACACCCTTCAGGAAGGAAATTGTTAAAAAAGGACAGACTGAATCTCGCCATAGTTATTGCACAATCTTTGCTTCATCTCTCCGGTAGTCCTCTCCTGCAAAGTCCGTGGAATGCCGAGAATATCTATATCACGCATATAGCCGATGAAGTGGTCCACAGTTGGCTACGTACCGACCTGTTTCTTGCTAGACAGTTAGCCCAAGAATCCCCAAACGCTCAACTGGATGAATCACTGGAAAGCAATCGGAATGTCCTTGATCTGGGGCTCCTTCTTTGGCAGCTTTTATTCGGCCGAAAAGTCACAATCGAGCCGGAAGACAGGGAGGACGAGGATGAAGATGACTTGAACCTATCACTCTTCAATGCCCTGAACCGCGAACATGGCGAGTCTAAAGAGTCATTCGTCGAGCAGCCGTGCCTGGACATCATCGAAAACTGCCTCAATCTTTATTCTTCTTTTCAGTTGGATCAACAAACATTTCAAGAAAAGATCCACTGGAACGTTGTTACACCTCTCAAAAACTATCTAGAGTTTTTCTACCAGTTTAAGAAGCCGCCCCAAAACTTGAACCAAGTCCATACAGCCCCATTCCCGACATGTGCGGCTTCCGGTAAGAGTGCAATCAAACCCAGCAAAGTCTTACATGAAATGAGCCGACAAGAAGTTTCATTAGTCAAGGGGTTTAAAGTGAAAGATGAATGCGACATTACAGCTGGACAGAGAAGAACGACTTCACAGCGACCAGCTTTTGTCTGGTCCAATCTCCTGGCCTTTTCCGGAGACGTACGGTTAAGTTGATCCCATAATGAGAAAGTCGCCTCAACTAACGATCTCAATAAGATCAAGAACAGCTCCTCGTGGCTAGACAAGTTTACCATTGTGAATCAACGGCTAGAGGCTCTCGAACAGGTAGATCCTCTACGCGTTAGGATTGCCGTGCTCGACACAGGCTGTGACATAAACAATGATTACTTCAACGGGCCCGGCATCGGCCAGGATGAGCGGCTAGATGGCCACTGGCTCGATTGCGTGGAAGGGTCGGATGAAATGGTCGACGAGGACCCTGATAAGCACGGCACCGCAATGGTTACTCTGTTACTAAGGCTGATTCCGCATGCTGAGATATTTGTGTTTCGCGTAGCCAAGAACAAAGACGACTTGGGCATGGCTCAAAACCGTATTGCACGGGTAACTAGGCTCCAACGCTTGTCTTTGCCGCTAGCTGACACCAAACAGGCCATTCGCTCCGCCGCACAGGAGCCTTGGAATGTCGACATAATGTCGCTGTCCTTCGGCTTTGCCGATTCAGCGCCAGGTATAGAGGAGGCAATTACATATGCCGACACGCTAAAGGGAGGCAGGATTCTCTTCTTTGCTGCAGCCAACAACCAAGGACTGAACCAGATGGAGATGTTCCCTGCCCTGTACGAGTCGGTCATACCTGTACGTGGAACCAGATATGACGGCTCCTTCATCCAAACTTACAATCCAAACACATGGCCGCATAGGCGAGGAGCAGAGCTTTACGGGACAATCAGCGAGGATGTGCCATGTGACTGGATATGCGGTCAGCTTGTCAAGTCAGGCTGCTCCGTGGCAACACCAATCGTGGCGTCCATTGCTGCTATGATTATCTGGTTTGTGAGCTGCAGAACGGCGAGTTTTGGCAATGTAGTAGACGTCCAGAAGCTCATTCGGACGCGGAGAGGAATGCTGTCAGTGTTCAGCCTGATAACCCAGGACCAGGAACACCTTAGAAGGTACTTGGCGCCTTGGCAATTATTCAAGGAAGGTGATGCGAATGGCGTTGGTGCGGTTCATGCCATCGGCTATGCGTTGTTGCGACTCCCACCGTCGGATGCACGATAGCTGTGCCGATGCAAAAGCTTCATGAACCGGAATACATAATTCATTGGAGACATTGATAGGCTTCACGTAATACATTACACCGTGAGTATGCGATAATATAGATATACACAGAAGCTACCATCTACGGTTTATGCATATATTAGTGGAATATCCAAATGTAGTTAACTATTATTCCTGCACAAGGTCTTAAACGTTCCTCTGTTCTGTTCTAACCATCATCTCTCCTTCATGATATGCTCGAAGCCAATTTGTAAAGAACGGTAAGTCTCTGATCTCCATCACCATTTAACTCAATCAGCTCGACGCCTCTCTTCGAATCTATCAGATCCGTAGGTTCTAGCACACCTCTTTCACCCTCAACTCTCTCTTCGGCCTTGTCCTTGCTATCGCTGAGAAGAGCGTGTTTCCGGAAATCGCTTGTCTCAATCGTCTTCTCCCCAGTCCATCCTTTCGGCTTGATCATCGTAAGTTGATAGGCGAAGATGATATCATTGACCGACTCAAATTGATCGGAAATGGACGTCGAGGATGACATGTGAGCACTCCCACCAACAGATGCCTCCGGTGCTACCTCACCACCTACCTTGCCCATGAGGCCCGCCGAATGCTTAGCCGACCCAGATAAACTGAACCCTTTGGCAATCTTGAGGCCAGTCACTACATAGACTGGCTTGCACAGAAGGCTATCAAGCCGCATAAACTCTCTAACCTTTGGGTCGCTGCAAAGTGTCTTGATATAATCGTCTGACAGGTCGTCTTTCAGCGACACTGTATCTAACGACTGCATGTTGAACTGTCCGTCCTTGACATGCGTTCGATTTGCCCCAATCTTGATGCTGATCTTTTCAAGAAAGGTAGCCCAAATGCTAAGGCTGAGATTGCGCATGGTTTCGATAGACAGTTGCCAGTTCTTCTCCGTTGCTGTCTCTGTCGGCAAGTGACAGTTGGGATCTGGCTTGAGAAGAACCCGGTGTGGAAGGAGAGGGTCAACGAGAACATTGCCGATTGTGATCCTTCCCTCCGGTCGGAAAGTCCAGTTCGGCGCAAGAATGTAAGTGGGATACCGCACGTTGCTCATGGTGACCTAATGTCCTGGTTCGATCGCGTTAAAGAGACGAACGAAGCCATCTTTTTATAATCATCAGCAGATTCACTCACTCAGCCAAGCGAGCGGCCTCCGCTTGATTGTTGTGGCGTCGGTCGGTCAGCCGCAATTCGCATACACTACACTATTATAGGTGTTTTCCTCAGCCATGTGGGGTTTCTGCCAATAGAAGTCTTTAGACTGGTATTTGAGTTTCAGCCTATGACCTAATGTCATGCGCTGCGTGACGAAACTTGAACCAGATCATCCAGTTAAGGGCGCGAATAGGGCAGCCACAAGCGCTTTCATTATAGGCTAAGATTTTCATGGCATCTACCTATTATTACCCACAGCTATAGCATCTGCTGCCTTCTCGAAAATTATTATTGCTATTTTAAAATCTTAAATATAATAGTATTAGGGCTAGCTGCTAGGAGGTAGCTAGTATTTATACTACTTTATTAAAGCAGTTAAAGCTTATATTAATATTTAACTATTAATATAATAATTCATATATTATTATATTATTTAAGCTTTAATAAAAAAAAGTAAAGCTAGGGGCTATTATACTTAAATAAAAGCTAAATAAAAGAAAAAATTATATTAATATAACTATTTATTATTATATTTAAATATTTTACTTATGTTTAATATTTTATAGCCTTACTGTAATAAGAGTAGTTTAGCTTAACTAGTTAAATAATACCCTATAAATAGAACTACCTACTTTTCTATTTTAATAGTAAGTCTTAGGCGCTAATACATATTATAAGGGTAATTAGAGCTACTTTAAAAGAAGTTTAGAACCAGTGAATTGATACTCAAGTATATCAACAACTAGCTATCGGCATTACTGAAAAGCATGTGCACGAAGTGCTATACAACGAGGTGGCGCTGGCAAGCCTAAAGCCACAGCTGATGGTTTATCAGTGCCTTAAAAAGACCATGGCTAGATCATGTTCGTCATGGGTTAACATATAAATATTGCAAAGTTATCCATGACCTTAAGCGCTCTAATTGTTCGACCCCATCTATTTATCCCCTACCTAGGTTGTTAGAAAATAGACTTAAACCACTTAACCCACTTCTTTCCATTACGACATAATGGCCAATACTACTACCATGAAGCAGTGTATCGTCTGTTCTGATAAAAACGATCTAGATGGCATGGTCTTTGTCGACGCCCCGGTTCGCCAAGTGGTGGAAAATGATGTGCTCATCAAGCTGCGCAGTGCTGCCCTCAATTATAGAGACATCACCATTCCGATGGTATGATGACCAGTACGCGATTCGCACGGCTCAGGAGGAAGATCACTAACCTGAAGGCAGGGCAAATTTGTCTTCGCATATAAGCTTCCGGTCGACCTGCATCAGATGGGGCCAACGAAGTGGTTGAGGTGGGCTCAGGAGTTAGCACAAATGGAAGAAGGGTGACCGAGTCATCACTCCTTTCAACCAAAGTCACCAATTTGGACCCATTAGCCCTGCCATTGCAGCAACTGGCTTAGGAGGTACGATTGATGGTGCCCTGCGCCAGTATGGCGTGTTCAATGAGGATGGCGTAGTACGAGCTCCCAGCAATATCAGCTTTGCAGAGGCGCGCACGTTTACAGGGGCACCTCTGACGAGCTGGAATGCACTCTACGGTTTTCGACCACTCAAGGTCGGAGAAACCGTGCTGGTTCAGGGAACGGGAGGAGTAAGCATCTCGGCGTTGCAGGTGAGCACATCCTCCTGATATCGTACAGAATGGTCTTCTAGCTCATCATTGAAAGCTTGCGAAAGCGGGTGGTGCGAAGGTCATTGCTATCACGTCATCTTCGGAGAAAGCTGAGAAGCTCAAGGCACTAGGAGCCGACCATGTAATCAACCACAAAGATAACCCCGAATGGGGTCCAACTACACGCAAGTCGACTCACGATGAGTCTGGCGTTGATCATATCCTTGAAATCGGTGGCTTTGGGACTCTTGCGCAGAGTTTGAAGGCGATCAAGTACCAAGGTGTCATGAGCTTGATTGGCTTCCTAGGTGCCAACTCAGGTGAAGCTCCCCCATCTGCCTTGGAAACCTTGTCGAGCATGTACATTATGCGTGCCATCTAAGTCGATTGGAAAGCTCAAATGGAGGAAATGGTCACGGCTTACGAGAACAACAGCATTCACCCTGCTGTGGACTCAAAGTCGTTCTCCCTTGAGCAAGCTAAAGAGGCGTTTGAGTATTTGGTAAGTCAAAACACGATGATAGGATCAACCTGAAAGTCCATTAATAATTTGCAACAGGGAGCTCTGAAACACATTGGAAAGGTTTGTGTGCAGATCAAGTAAATATGACAATCACGTCTGTGCCGTAACCCTCTCTTATTGCATAGGGAATTTTGCAGTTATGCCCACAGTCTTTCTAATCTGCACAATGACCATTTTTCTATTGACCCTGACAATTACAATAAGTCCCTCAAGAGTGTGATATTGAACATATGATCGATATTATTGTGTAGGACCATTCACAGATTACTCTGTTCGGGAAAGATTTCAAATAGGACTACGACGCGCAATGTGTCGTGAGAGTTTGGCCTGGACTACTGCTAACATCTAAGGCTATGTATGGATGGGAACAGTACCATTCTGAGATAATGGCTCCTAACCTAACTTGACAAGGACCCATCGAGAATACGGCGTATGATAGTACCCAGCAACGCAAAAGTAAGGACATTGTACTAAAACAAACAGAATACACGAGCGGAAAAGAAATCAAACACATTTATTGACAGTGCGCGACATTGAAGCAGTTCTTCCGTCAAGATCCGGTTCAGTATCTTGGAGGCCACATGTGTGTTTCTGGTTTTTGCTTGCCAAGAGCCACCACAGCACCCGAACCCAAGTCAAATCGGCGATATAACCCATTGACCATGTTCATCATCCTTCGCCGCTCTCCACTTCCTGTCCATCACTCCAGAGTGCTTTTTGCCTCTGCGGCGTACATTGCCATCAAAACCTGGCTCCTTGCGAATGCTCGAAATAATACGGAGAAGGTCACTCTCGCTCAAAATTGCAGCGGCTGATAAAAGACCTTCAGGTTCCTCAGTCAAAATGCTAGGTCTTTTATAGACATAGAAAAACGCCCAAATAAGGAAACAGAAAGCGATAAGTAAAAAGATAAGAATGACATATGCCACCCACGGAACGACGAATAGGCGGGTCGTGGGGATAAAGGCTTTACCCGTGCTGACTTCAGGGTTCGAAAGGGATCTAAAGCCGTGAGATCCTACGCCATTGAGGTACGTGGCCGTAAAGATAGTTGATATTGATCGAATCAATACCTCCGGGCTTAATGGATTCGAAGGTTGCAATCTTTGGGCATATTGTAATATCAAATCACCCATGTCTGACGTGGAAGATTTTGCCTTTGGATTGAAGGTGACTGGCCCAAGGATTCCTTGCTCAAAGATTCTCCAGAGAGTTGGCCGGCTAGTATGTGGCTGGCCTGTCTCATCAAATGATTGAATGGTTGGAGACGTAGCCAGTGTGGAAACCTTCAAGTTGCCGTCGACCTGGTGATATCCCGTTGCACAGGAAATGACACTGATATCGTCGAGCAGGTTGGAGGCTGAAGAAGAATACACCCCAGCTGTGAAGACTAAACGACTGTAGTACGCTTGAGCAGAGCAATCAATGACTGAAGTGCTCTTCAAGTATGTTTTTTGCGTACTTGCGACTCCGAATTTCTGACGAAAACTGCACCCTCTGTCGTCTCCAGATATGACAACAGTACCCTGGCTCGAGCTGGAATCTTCATTTGAGGTGATAGTGTAATCCTTAACTACTGCGCAATTAACATAAGCGGAAAAAGCAGTGGTTTCTGCCTCGATATCTGCTGACGCTGGTATGATCGAATGGTTGGAGAACGGGCGAAAGGCGTACTGGTTGTCTGTCCAAGCAATACTTTTGCCTCGATAGAGCAACGTAGCTGCGACAACATTCAAAATCGGCTGCCAATCAATAGTGGAATTAATGTTGCTGTCACTAAACTCAGTGTCATATGTAATTGGCAGTGTCTTCGGTACTGAAACGACTTGAGGCGTGAACAGACGCGCAGCCAAGGGCGCTGTAACATAGGTCAACAGCACCGATAGCAATGTCATCGCCCCAACTGTTCCGTGGGATTTTCGAAATGCCGACCACCAGCGGAAAACCACTGGAGTGACGCGATAATCTAGCAAGATCGATTTCCTTGCTTCGGCACCTCCTCTTGAGCGCAATTCAACGTATGGTTGACGTTCTGCAATAGCGCAGGCTATCCAGGCCCAGTAAGCGGCAAAGAGAGCGAAGACAAAACTGGGCAGTGCGGTCCAAAGAATGCCAAGATCCAATGAGACGTTGAAACGGACAGGATCTCTCGATGACGGAGCCTGCGAGCTACTCGAGGTGATGTTGCGTGAGGGGATTGTAACAAATCCATGCTCAGTAGATGATTTCGCGGTCAGGATGATAATTGTGATGGCGAGAGCAATATCAAATAAACCAAAGACTATGAGAGAGGGCCACTTTAAGGCCTCAGAGAGCCATCCAAAGGATTCCTGAGCCATGATTGAGGGTGCAAAGTGAAAGAAGCATGGGACATCTGGCCATTCGTCAGAGTAATGCACTTCAGATAGAGGCTAAAGGGACTTATAGAATTCGTCATTCGAATATCGTTGGGCTGAATGCTAGGCAGAATCCAAAAAATGGAACACATGCGGAATGAATACTTGGATTATGGAACTTGCCGGACCGTGCGGCCGTTTAGCCTCAAGGACTGGCCTCAGCTTTCAATAGTCCGGCATCAATCCATTCGTCCCATGTCCAAGCTTTTCAAGCCACAATGCAACCCTAACTTTAGTTGATGTCCTGGACCTAATCACAATAGTGTCATGTGGCCAAGCCATGGCTTAGATTTTAGGGCCCACCAACCTCTAGCTTGCCTTGCCGTTGCTTAGCCTCAATTCACGGCCCCAACTGACAATGGACATATAAGGTAGTTCAGGAGACGGTATTTGATGAAGCACAAGTGTTATTTTCAGAGTAATTGAAATGCTCCTTTATATGCAATTGTTTGCCGTTGTTGCTGCTTTTATGAGCACACTTACAGAGACCTTCGCATTGTCTCTGCGCCCAAGCAGCTGCGTAGGGAAGATAACGAACTTCCCAAGCTGTGACAGTCTTGGTGGCATTCTAAAAAAGTGTAATCTTGTCACGGGAAAGCAGGAATCAATTGACTGCTTCTGCACGCAAGAAGTCCTAGACGCCTATGTAGGGTAAGAACAGATAATTTACTCATTATTATCAAACGTGAACTAGCATTGACCAGTAGGATCTAGGTGCGAGGGCGAATTTAGACAGTGCGCCTTGTCCGACTCATTCGATAGTGATTTTGAGACAGAAATCGCGAATTGGCAGGATGCTTGCGGTCCTTATCTCCCAAAGGATATCACAACCGCGAGCATTGCTGAGCCAACAAGAACCTTGGATCAAGACACCTGCCAAACCATTGCTGAGAGCTGCTACCAGCTAAGCAAAGCTACAGACGCCTGTTCATCTTCTTATACCAAGCCCGTGGATTATACTAGTTGCAGATGTGAGAGTTCCATGATTTCTCTGGCCTCAGTTTGCGAAATTGATGGGAGCTCGTCGTGTCTTGGGAAAACGCCTATTACGTCTCGTATCTGGGAATTTCAAAGTTGCGCAGCGGTCACTGCATTTACATCTGCTCTGGTGGTAAGTGCAAAATCAGTTTACTACATCCATTTATTAATAACTATCTGGTAGAGCTCGGCTCCGATAACCACAATGCCAGGAAGTACTGAGGCAAAAGAAGGGCCTGCTTCGACACTGGTCTTTGGGCCATCTTCGACCATGACCACAACCTCTTCTAGTGGTGCTGTACCTGTATTTAAAAATGCAGGACCATTTTGGACGTCGTTTGCCTTTATCTTGCCTTCGGTAGTTTTGTTTTTACCTTGATCTTTAGAGTAACATATAGGAAAAGCGAGTTGATCAGATAAGTTAGCCAATGACTATACTGTATATCTAAAAGGTAAAACTGATAGTCGTATAAATAATCTATTCATTTTCACTGAGTATCTATACGGCTTCAAAGGATGTTTTCCTGGGCTTTAATCCCGGTTGATGACACGCTAGCCCAATTGTTGTATCATGTGATTGCAATTGGGGCGCAAGCCTCAAGCACTAGTCTTAATAACCAAAGGGGGCCTGGAACCAGGTTGGCTCGTAGCTGAAAGCCACTAATGCAGTATTGCCTTATTACCACCCCACCGGACTTATCTAAATAGCTTGGTACCAACTTTAAGCAGATTAAACCAGCTTCAGTTACATCCAATTTTCGGCTTAACGCCGCTTTAGAGACAGCCCCACTCATACTAACCTAGCAATGCTCAGCTGATTGATTTCTAACCTCTGGATCGCAGCCCAATTGAGCCACTAGCGTGGCGCAGAGGAATCGAGCCCCTGCGGCTGAATTATAGTTTGACTGTTAGTGCCTTGCTTTCAGTGCAACTTTGACGTCTAACGGCATATTCCGCCTCACATAGGCCAAACTGTTAGACATCTTGCATTACTAGATCTTAGGGGATAGAGCTTTATTATTCTCTAGTTGCCGTAAGCCCCGCTGAGATATTCCATTCCAAGCCACCAAGCCACGCTGTTCCAGGGGCGCTATAAATTAAACCAAACCAAGCCAAGGCATCCTCAGGACGGCTGAGTTCTGTCACCCGACCAAATTGCAACCAATTAACTGCTGGTATAAGGATCAGATCATAAGGCAAAAATAATTATTTAAGCTAGAAGCCTAAACTTCCGTTATATTACGGAAATAATACAGCGTTAACATCATAACAGTGTATAATAATACTAAATGAGGTATATATTAGTTCCTGAACTATTTCCACTTTTTTCGCTTTATCTTTTTAAAGCAAGACCTTATTCAACGAAACACATTAAGCTCCAAACCCAATTTGAAGACAGCAGCATTATATCGCCTTGCGATCTAATATACAATGCGACTTAAAACAAGAATGGATTTCAGGTTATTATTGTTCTTTATCAGGCTTTTCATATATTATAAACAAGCTTATGGGGCTATAATGCTTGAGAAGACTCCAGGTAAAAATATTTCATAAAGCACGCATACGTTCCCAACTAATCTAGGAGAAGATCGCACTAGGGCTATTTATCAGACTGAATCGCATACTGTTACCAGTGCTGAAAGGCCGGCTCTTGAAGTTTTGAAATGGTTACCAGTTAAAAGGTTATCAACAATTAGTTCTGTAGGA